CATGAAATGGAATTATTTTTTCTTGTTGTTGTTGTGCAGCTCCCAGTTGCTGTGCGAGTGTATGGGTGTGTAAGTGTGTGTATGCTATGCATAGATTAATAAATTATAAGCCTGGTTGGCTTTGTCGAGACCTTAGCGCTTGCTTTCCTTTCACCCAGCATCTCCTGGGGGACACTCATTGCTCTCTAACGTAACTCTGACTGGCTCCGGCTCCAGCTGTATGAATGTATGAATGTGGAGCAATTAATGTACGTGTTTTGTCATTTCATGCCACGACACTGTCTAGGGATTGTGTATCTGTATATATTTATATACTTATGTGTACGTAGTATGTTATGCACATAATTAAGCCGGTGTATCCGTTAAAGTATGCGACACTTCCGGCTCTGAAGATGGGCTTACAAATAATAATAATAAAATGAAGAGAGAGAAAAACCCTGAGACTTTCAGTCTCAGTCAGTCACTTACTCATTCAGTCTCCATCTGTGGCATTGCCTTAATACAATTCATTGAGCGCTGACCACGCTTCATGCTAGTAACGTGCATATAACGTAGTACACAGAAAAGGGGTTATTTTCCTTTCCTTTTCTTTCCTTTCCTTTTATGCAGCATCTGTAATGCTAACTGGCAATGCTCTCGCAGGAGTTGCGGGGGAGCACGCACACACAGTGCGTCACATTGTGGATGCCGATGGAAGAGGCGGCGGAAATGCCAGAGCACGAGTGAAAAAATGCAGCTGGACATTGTACGTGGTCCAGATGAATAGATATAATGTTACATGGAAAAGCAAGGCCTTTAATTAGTCTTAAGTCTTGTCATACTTGGCAGTAGTTCCAGCTGAAAGGCGTTGCCAGCCAGACCTTTTAGTAAATTCAACGGGAACGGAGAAGTGGCTTAGATAGATATAAAAGAAGAAGATATATAGAAAGGCTGGGCTGACATTAACATTAAACTACTAATTCTCAGATTATAGTTTCTGTTGAGATGCGATTTCAAATTAAATATCCATTATGATCCAAGAATGAATACAATTGAAAATTATGAATAAGCTGCTGGTTTGTTTCATGATGTTAAGTGTTTTTTGCTTTTCGAGTTGAGTGAATTGAAACTGTTGCTCTCCAAATGCATTTCCTTGTCTAAATACGCACTGATTCAGTTTTGTGGAAATTTTCTTGTGTTTTCCTGAACTTACCAATCAGTTGGCTGCTTCTGACATTGTTTTTATCTTATTTGCCTTGTCAATATTTAAGTGAATTTTGTTGGCTTTGCTTATTATTTGTTTAAGTGCTAATAAATCTAGTTATGATTGATACTCCTATATACAACATTAAGCAACGGACCCTTTGGGTCTTTGGGTATTTTGTGTGGCCTGCGGACAACTGCTCTTCTCGTAATACTCTTGATGAAGCTACAACTCGTGCAGTTTTTCACTTTGCTGACTACAGCTTAATCCCTTTGACTGGGTGTTTATAAAAAATATCAACACATTCATAAAGTTCACCCTGAGCCCCGACTCTGATGCAGCTTATCTGGACAGCTGAGCCAGACAAGTTGAGAGGAGCACAACACGAATTTGACACATGTCATAAGCAATGGTAAATACACACACACACGCACACACACACACACAGGCACACATTTATTTTCCTGGATAGAGGGGCCCAACTTGTATAAGCCACACAAAAACAAATCACTTGAGGGCAGCACACGACAAGTATAGTCCCTGCTCCCGTGGCCCCCTTGGCCCTCTTGGCCCCCTTAGCCCCGATCCCTGCTAGATGAAGGCGTGCAACTTGGCATTATTTGAATTAAGTGCATACTTAAGCGTAATTTATTGGAAAATCCACAAGAGCCCGTGGCCCGAGGGGCAGCCATTTCGCCAAACAACAGATTGTGGGCATAACTATAGAGATGTAAAGAGCGCCAGTGGATCCACATAAATCTATTGTTTCAAAGCAATTCCTAGTTGCTGATGCTCATTAATCTAGAGGCCCAACCCGTCTCCTGGCACTCCAGCCAGGCCTCACTCTAGCAGCACTATTTGAATAGTGCGCTTCACTGTTTGCTCAAATGTCACTCGCTTTTTCACGCGTTATCTTAATAAACCCGGACAGCCAGTGTGGGAGATAGGTGGAATTCTGGTGCCGATTGTGGTTCAGTTGAGTTGTTGCTTCCCGCCTGCTCGTCTACCCGCCTGCCCCTCTGCCCGCCAGCCAAAGCTGTCGCCTTTTCATTAGACTTGTATACAAGTCCCCGGACAGTGGCATCTGCTTTCTGGCCTTTTGGTTTATGGTTCGAGTAACGAGTTATTGGCATGCATTGAATTTTGCTGTTGGAATTTTTGTGTGTGTGCCGAGGCCAAAGAGTAGACAATCATTGGCATGTATAGAATTTCACTGATTTATGTTTCATATGAAACTCAAGAGAGCAGAATGCTGCCTCCATGCCTACCCCTCACCCACACCCCCAAACACACCCCCCACACCCCCCACACACAATCTTACCCGGCCAAAAGACTGAAACTGAATCTGAGTTTTGAGACTGAGGCCCGTCTCCGGTTGGTGACAATGCAGTGATTACATCTTTTGAACATTTTACCCCACACTTCCGTTCTCTCTTCATAATCATCATCATCAGCGTCGTCAACGTCATCATCGTTATAGGAAGAAAGGCATGCCTTTGCAGCAAAAATATTTTTGTCCTAGAGAAATGATAAATTTTTGATTAAAGGCTCTTCGAATGGATGGATGGATGGATGATGGGTGGCTGGCTGCCTGCCTGCTTGTGTTTGGCATGCCTTTGATAGGCAGTTCCATGAGAAAATCCAACAACATTCTCCAGCACGCAACCAGGAGGTGCTCCTTGAGCTAATGTGATCAACTCTCAGATACCCTTTGATTGAGTCGAGGCTTAGAGCTTAGAGCTTGACGATGCGAAATCCAATTAATCTTATTTACAGTACACTTACTATATGCTCTATATAGTAGAGTTCAATCACTGAACTATATTGTTGATTTGATATTTATTCGCAACGTTGATATTTAAGACCCTGTATAGAGTTCTCAATTATTTGAATTCCACTTAAGTCAATCAGGTCTCCCGCATATTATCGTCTGGTAGAGAGCATATAAATACTTTCCCAAGCTTGTTAAATTACATTAGCCAAGCAGTGTTCATTGAGTTTCGTTGATTGCCTGTTAAGAATATTTGACAGGTGGCTCCCCTCAGCTTCCCAATTCCTCCCATGCTCTCAGTGATTACTCGAGCTAGAGCTATGTCTCGTTATCATTCATATTCTCAATCAAATTTGAAGTCAATCGCTGCTGTCAGCTATCCGAATGTTAATTTAAACAATTAATTCCAATATATGGTATCGTATGGTATATGGCATGCACGGCTGAGAGATAGAGACAGAGACAGAGAGCTGGAAAGCGGGGCATGGTGTATATTTAACATGTCAATTTGCAAATTAAATACATAACATGACAGACAAGCAGGAGACAACGGGAAGTGTGCCACACTCGGAGGCATGGCACACAGATGGGATGGGAGCTGAAGAGGGAGAGGAAGATGGAGATGGAGGCAGTTTGGCAGAGGAAGAGGGAGGCAAGACCACACAGTGCACAAGTGCACTAAATATAGATCTGATTTGGGCAGCGGTAGAGCCTAGAGTTTCTGACTGATTTGGAGTGGAAGAGCTCACGAACTAACAGATTGAGGACCATTACTTAGAAGAAGACGACGACGACAAACACAATTTCTAGACACAGATTTAATTGAGCCAAAGTGCTCACTTAAGGTCTTAAATCTATTTTTTTTTTGTACAGCTAGCTTCAAATGAGAACAAAGTAGTTCAGGTTAGTTCAAGATTGAGCGTAGGCCTTTGAGATTCCATAGAAGAATGTGAATCTAATTAACAAATGAATTGCTTAAGTGAATGACTGCGGAATTGCCTAATCAGCATACATTCTAATTCTGAGTAATTTCGCTGGGGCATAGTTGGAAAGTTATCAAAACACATGTTCTCTCTTTTATTATGCAGACCGGCAGTTGAGTCATTAGTTATTTTGTTTTCCTCCTCCGTGCCCTCTGCAGGTTTGCTACAGGTTCTTTGGGTACTCAGGGAAACATGTGTTGGCAGTGCAAGATTCTATAATAATAGTTCTAGGACTAGGGTGATTAGTCTGCTTGCTTTTGGAGCTGTCAGCTATTGCTACTGACAGGTGGTTCGATAAAAAAAAAATAGAGAAAAAACTAACCCCCAAGAATGGTCGGCAGACTTAAGACCAAATAGAAAATATGAAAGAGAACCTAAATGACCGTTGCTCATGTCTGAAGAATGCGAGTTTTCAGAACAACTACAAATATGAAAGTGGAATCAAAATATATAAAATAAATGTTTTTGAAATGTACATAATACAGTATCTGATCATATTTATTGACAAAGACGGTTATTTGAAGAATAATAGCATGTGGATAACAGATTCATATTTTTATATAAGTCTGAAAAGTACCTTATTAACGTTAAACAAAATTAGCTATTTTCAACTCTTATTCTAAATGGATTGTGATATGTTAAACCTCTCATATTTTACCAGATCTGTACGAAAACAAAGCAAAACATCAATAGTTAATAAGTCATTCTGTAATTTTTATTGTTTTCCACAGCAGACAAATGTTAAGAACTTTGAGTACAGCCCATCAAATAGAAGCTGTCACATTAGTTTCAGTTTTATTTTTTATTTAAGTGATATAAAGTGCGGCATTCGTGATACATATGTATATATTTTATGTATATATAGATATATATATTCGTCTGTCTACACAGACAGACAGTCCGTGTATTTATATTGCAGTCCGTAAGAATTTCCTGCCATTGCATTGACATAGACACGCTTGCCGAATTTATAGATGATTTTTCATGATTTTTCCTGACATTTAGCTCTTTCGCTCTCGCTCTCGCTCTCATTGTCTCTCTCTCTGTTTCTATTTCGTTGCAGATGCGCGCAGCAGGTCACAGACGAACGGACCTCATGATGAAGTTGCCGACGAGGCGTCTCTGAACTGCTGACAGCCAAGTGCCAGCGCCAGTGCGTGCGTATCTCAAAGCAACCAACAACAACTCTAAGTCGCAGCGCATTTCCGGCTGGACGCACCGCGCAGCACCGCACCGCACCGCACCTATTTAACTAAGTGGACGGCTCCGGCTACCTACGCGTTCGCTCGTCGCTCGTTACTCGTCACTCCCGACTCGTCACTCGCCGCTGCTATTGCCATTGCTACCACTGCCGCTGCAACTGGGCAGCTGCTATCAGTTCTGCAGAAGCGCGCGGTCGCGACGGGCTGCAAAAAATCGAAATAAATAAATAAAGTGAGCGCCGGGAGCGCGAAGTGGAACAATAACAAAATAACAACGAAATCGTCAAACGAATATCGAACAACGAAATGCATCAAACCAATGCTCCGTCGTGAACAATCAAATACATACGCACACATACATATATATGTATAAATATATATAGATAAATACGTGAACAGCAGGGAAACACGGCAAGCGCTCGACGACAATCCTTTTGCCTTGCGCAAATATTTGTGGAAAAGTGATTGCTGTTGACAAAGTGGCGTCCGCACACGCACTCGATACTTTCAATTAGGCACGTTGCTTATAAATGTGCCACAATGGCGCCGCCGTCCAGGACGACGACACCGTCAACGGTGCAACCACCGACGCGTTGTAAAGCCACAGCGACAGCCACGGCGAGAGCTAAGGCTCTAATCCTGCCCCTGTCCATGTCCCAGTCCCTGCCCATGCCCCTGCTACTGCTGCTGATACTAGCTGCTGTCATGGTCCGTGCTGAACCGTATTCGAGCGTTTTCGGCAGCTCAGCCATCGCCAGCGGCGGCTTGGGCTCCGTGGGCATTCACATACCCGGCGGCGGAGTGGGCGTCATCACAGAGGCGCGCTGTCCGCGTGTGTGCTCCTGCAGCGGTTTAACCGTCGACTGCTCGCATCGTGGATTAACGCAGGTACCGCGAAAAATATCAGCGGATGTGGAAAGACTGTGAGTATCAAAACATCTATATATTTATACATATACTTACAACAAGTGAATAGCCAACCAAAAGGCAATCAAACCAACAACAACAGCAACAAGGTGAAGCCTTGTGAAGTTTTAATGCTCTCACTTGATATAAAATCCCTATAAATGTCGATTATATACTTACTTTGCGTATCGATAAAAATACCATTAACTGCTGCAATCAAACTTTCGATGCATAAGAGTTAGCACTTGATTCACATAAATATACGCAGATCTATATGCATATATATACACAGATCTATATATACAACTCGAGCATTTATTAAGTATGTGAACAGATTTTTCAGAAGCCAAGAAAAGGAATTTAATAAAATCAACTAAAATCGAAAGAATTTCTTCGGGAAAGGTTTTCGAGAAGACTAGAATATCTTAACAAGCCTGATAAGGGATTTCTGGCCTCAGGCTGGGAACAATGTAATCTAATGTTTGGGTTCCGAAACTTGTTTGTAAATGCCAAAAAAAATAGTGTATAGATTATTTATTTTTGATATTGGTAAATAATGCTTGCTTACTATCATCTGACATGGTCAAAATCAATAGTCACGTCTGTCCTAACCGTCTGTCTGTCTATGATATGCATATGCCTGTCAACTCAACCGTCGTTCGATCTTCATAGACTTGTTGGTCTCTACAAATACAAAGAAACTCTAATAAATGTTTTTATAAACTTTTGAACAGACGTTTGAATAAATTTGTAAATTTTAAATTGTTGTTAAATAATAACAAAGCCTGCGTATTTTGGAAGTCTTTAAATATGATAAAAAAATCTATGGAGCGGACAGCATTCCTAAATGTTGATAAAAACTAGTCAAGCTTAATTAGAAACTATTGTAAAAGGGCAATTTGTTTACTATGCGAGACTGCTCAAACTGCTGAGCAAACAATTTATTGAATTTATTGAAGTACTTGAAAAATCATACTGAAAACTATTTGCGTAAAAGCTCAAATATATTTTCAAGACGCAAAGGAGAGAAAACGTGATAAGTATCAACTCATAAAATTAGCAAATAAAGCTCGTTAAGAGCTTCAATTTGTTTTTCAAGGGTGAAATAGTTAGTAAAGAAATATATAAATAATCGGTCAAGTAAGTAAAATATGTGCATATATGTATATCTGGTTAGATAAATACTCTAACGGACCGTATAAATATATTTATGCTGTTAACGATTCAGTTAGAGGAATAGAAAACTGTATTACACTAACAAACCGCAATATGCAGCTGCTTATATAACACGTATTTATGTAGATAGATGTGTTGGGTCTGATATGATAATCCAGCACACACAGATAGTAATTTCACACACACACACAGATATAGGTATATGGCCCTTATCTATGTATCTATTTGCATTGCGAACTGCATGAGCTAGTTTTAGCCTTGACAATGATCTATATGACAGCATTCAATATGTTATATAACATATATATGCGCATATATATGTATACTTACATAACACCAGGCGAACACAGCTGAGCACTTCTGGTACGTTTAAAAATAAAAATCAGCATAGACAAGCGACAACAACGAAAGCAAATAAAGCCGTGACCATTTCGTGTCGATAACAGCGAAGCAAATGGAGAAATGGACAAATGGACAAAGGGATGAATGAATGGTTGGAATGGTTGAAGGCAGCGGCAAATCTGTCGTCTTGTGCTGTGTCTCCGGCGTCGTACATTAAATTGCCATTAAGTTTATTAATTGTCGCCGAAGGAGGCAGCATAAGCGCATCAGGCGGCACAAGCAGCGCAGCAACTGGCGGCCACTTTGGCAATTGTTGCATGCAACTGGCAAAGTGGCAAATGCATTAAGCCGACGTCTGCGTACGCGGACGCCACATAAATTAACGCGCCGGCAATTAGCAAGTGTATGCAAAATACCACAGAGCAGCGCCCAGCGACGTGCAGTGCCAGGCCATGCCATGCCATGCCACGCCCTCTGCCGAGCCACCTCTATCGAGCCCCAACAGACCTGTGGACTGCTGCGCAGCGACCTCAAAAGCTGCAGTTGCAAGCGCTGGCGCTGCAGCAATTGTTGTTGCGTTTTCTCTACATAAATTAATAACAGATATCAACGTCGAGCAACAACAACATAGCCCAGTTATAAGCAGTCAAATAGCGCTCAGGGACACATTTGTTTTATGCAAAAAGCAAAAGCGACCAGAATAAAAAAAAAAAAAAAAAAAAACAAACAAAAAAAAAAAAAACAAAAACAGAAACTGAAAACATATCAACATGCATGCATATTTGCATTTTATAGTACCATGCGCCTGTCCGGCACAGGGTATTTCAGGCCACTAAAAAAATATTACGGAAAATGTTGACTGGCTGAGTGACAGTCGGGGCATTAGCACTGAGCACTGAGAGAACTGAAAATTATAAATTGATATACCACGAAAGAACTTGGGTAGATATAAATATATTTATATCCACATTAAAGGTACGAGATTCGTGCAGTCAATGAGAGCGCACTGGAAATATGAGTACTATTTGGATGAAATTTAATTGAAAAATGAAACATGAGCTGCACCAATGCCAGAGGGGAGATATTCAAAAATATGATTGACAGTTGTATTTAAAATCCGTGAAGAGAAAATGCTAAGAGCTCATGTAATTTAAAGAATGTTTATAGCTCCGGGGAGACGAAAAGATGGAGATTTATATTGTGAAAGAAAATATATTCGCTTAAGCGTCTCTTACGGAATAATTAAATTTTGCTTGCTTATTTGTGGTAAGACAATGTTGATTAATGAGCAATTATTTCTATCGACAAATGGTCCTAAATAAATTATTCCCATTATTCAAAACATTTTAAAATTATTGTTAACAATACATGTGGAATCGAAATTCTATTCTAGTTTCAAATAAGATTTTGTATAATATATTAGATTTTAAAGAACATTTTAAGGGAAACTGGAGAACGTTGTTAGAAAATTTCCATTCTGTTAAAGAGCTCTCTGCTGTAACAAGTTATCTGTAAGTCCGATAGCTGTAATTTATGTTGAGCTTTGACATACTTTATTCGCTCATTTCTGCATGTTAATTCATTAGTTTTAATTTAATTATGGTGGAGCAACTAAAGCTACACCGAAGTAATGCAAACAAAGTAACCCTTTCACTAAAAATCAATGAAAGTGTAATAAAAGCTGTCGAGAGGCTTTGCCGGACTAGGAACTAGTCAGCTGGGCTTAATTAAGAGATTCGTTGTGACATTTTAATTGATGGTACGTTTATGACCGAATACACACAAAAAATAAAAAGAACTGTTTATATTAGCTATGATAATCATCAGCAGAGTTGGGTCACCCTAATGCTAGCATAAGTTGTACATGGGGCTTCTACACATACATACACACTTATTGGGAGAGGCGCATATCTGTGAGTGTGTGTGTGCTGTGCACATCAAATATTGAACATGCCCACAACTATTGGCAGGCAAAGCACACTGGAATAGCAAAAACAATGCTTAATGCAAAACTGGGGCTGGCACTGGGGCTGGGGCCAAAGCAATGTGGAGTGAGGCCCAGAGCAAGCCGATTCTCGCCATTTAATTACACAGCAGAGCGACAGGCATAGTTACAGAGGAAAGAGATGGGAGATGAGAGGGAGCTGGCATTAGAATGGTAACCAACGACCTGGCTGTCTGTCAGTCAGCCTAGCAGCCAACCAAGCAGTCTCCCACCTACACGTTTTCAGCAATCGACACGAAAACAGTTTTGCATACAACTTTGGCCGTAACCTCTCACAACCCTGGTGAACTCAGACCCCAATTTGTGCTCGAAAGCCCTTTCACACCTCTAGAAAAAACCAAGTCGAGGTAAATTCAAAAAAGGTGAGCCTAATTTATAGCTGCCAAAATCTTCAAAGACAACCAAAACGAAAAAAAAAACAAGAATGAAAAATAATGAATCAAACAACTCGTGCTGAATTCTAATTGTGGCCCTCAAAACCTGCAAGGCTTTTTCTTGGCGAATTTGTGAATGCTCCAAAAGATTTAATGAACCTAAATGCCAGATGCTATATGTTAGATGTTTAATTATAACACAGCGCTCCAAGGGAAAGAAAAAGTTGAGCACACACAGAACCACAACTTGAAAACTGAAAAACAACTTGCGATTATTGTAATTATTTTTAAAAATATGCTGAAAAATGTCTAGCAATTAGAAAAGACTTAAACTTTTTTTTTTTTAATTCTATTTGTATTTATTTCTGTTTTTTGTTTCAAGTCTCAGTCGTATCTCTATGGGTCGCCGTAATCAGTTAAATCTAAGCAAGAGATGCCCACATCTTGCCAAGATATTAAGCTCATTAAAAACTCTGCTAGTGTGCGTGAGTGTGTCGTGTGTAGCAGCTCGGACCTGGTCATAATGCTACACTGAGACTAAACTGAAGATGTTTCTCAAGGTGCAAAATTAGGTGACTTTATAAGTAGCACAACTATTCTAGTTGTTATGCCTGAAACAATATGAATGATGTACCAATCGATAAAGGTACAGAAGGAAAGAGAGAGATAACACTCTTTGTGAAGCTTAATTTTCATTAATATATGATCGATAAATATCGATCGATTCATAGGAGTTATTGTTATCGATAATATATCAATTGAAAAGTAATGGAAGGTCTTTTCGGAACATCAACTTTAATTTGTTCTCAATTTAGAGCTTGTAGTTTTGTAAAGCGACCTCTGCCCTATGCGTTTCTCTCAGTGTACGCGCTCATCGGCCACTTGATGCGAGTTTCATTACGGCTTAAGCTGAAAAATATTTCTCGTTTGTAGCTATGGCTGTCGCTGTAGCTGTGGCTCTGGCTCTGGCTCTGGCTCTGGCTGTGGCTGTGGCTCTGGGCCCAGACTGAAGCTCTTACTACCTGTTGTGGCTCAGCTCTGGCTGCCAACCTTACTCAAAAAGCAGCTGAGCTGAACTGAGGCACCGGGCACAACGAGTGGTTGTTGTCGTTGCTGGCTGCGCATGCGCACACGGTCCGCGTCTGTTTTCAGGTATTTTGTATCTCTTAGGTTGCATTTCATTGTTATGACATCTACAGGTAACAAATTTTCTGTATCTCAGTCCGTTTGTCTGTCTGTGCCATCGTAAAACTAAAAACAAGTTTTCTTCCTGCGCATGTTAAATGATTAAATATCATATTTTTGTTATCAGACAAAAGGCTGAGTTTTCAACAGCCGCAGCCACAGTCACAGCCACAGCCCCCTTTCGGGGCTCCCCTTCTCTCTTTCTCTCCTTGCTCTGAGTGCATCTGCATCTTCTCCAGCTGCTTGAATTCATATCTCAGATTGTTGCTGTTGCTGCTGTTGTTCATGTGCCTTGTCTTACAAGCAATTAAAAATTATTATCGGCGCGTACATGGTTCAGCATTTGTCCAGCTGATTCCGATTAGCGAGCTACTTGGGTTGCAACATAATTAAAGACGAGCCCCAATCGAAAGTTAAGATCTCGTAATTGTATTTTCTTTCTTTTTCTTTTTCTTTTCCAGCGATTTGCAGGGCAACAATTTAACCGTGATATATGAAACGGATTTTCAGCGCTTGACCAAACTGCGAATGCTGTAAGTATAAACAATACATATGTCGTAGGTCTTATTTAAATACTTCAAGTATGTTTCATGCATTTCATATGTTTTTATATAAGTATATTAATTTTAATGGAAAGTCTTGCTAAGAGATAATCGTTATTTAGTCAATTCAATCATTCGTTAATTTTTTTTAAGTTTTATATATATTTAGAAATTGAACAAGTTCTATAACATATCTGTTAAGCCTCTTAGAACACGTATTCAAGTTTTGGTCATTATTTTTGGTTGCAAAGTCTGTCCAAAATTGATCATTACGAAATGCAAAATGTCGCATGCAAAGTGACACCAAATGCCGCGATATCAGCTGTAAATTGCAATTGAAAGTATACACGAAACTGGTCTCACAACACATGTATTAACTGTACTCTACGACTGATAGTCAAGAATTTATTTGCATTTTGCAATTGGCGAAACGTTGGCTAGGCAAAATAAAAATGTTTTGCCATAAGAAGTATGTAATAATTGCAAGAATCTCATTTAATACTTGATTCGCTCAGGAAACTAAAAATTCCAAGATTAAATTAAATTTATTAGAGACACATGTGTTGTGTGAGAGAGTAAATAGCGCCATTGGCGAAGGTTATGTAGAAAATCTTGATAAATAAATTAATTTTGCCAGTTTACTATGAATAGATCTTCAATTTAAAAGTAGTTCATGACGATATGAAGCCTAGTAATCTTATAAAACGGTTTAATTTGATCTGAATTATTTTATAAACAGATAAAACCTTATTTAAAATTGATAAGCTGACATATGAAAACAAAATGCCAATGTTTGAATGAAAAGAAATTCATTATATCTAATATGTATAATTAATATATATAATTCATTTCACAGACAACTGACGGACAACCAAATCCATACCATAGAGAAGAATGCACTGCAAGATTTGGTTTCACTGGAGCGACTGTAAGTAATGAACTGCATCGACTCGAAACTTGGGATAACAAACAAATCGAATGAGATGCCCATTCGATGCTAGTGCATGAGACTTTTGCGACTAATTCACTTTTTGAACTAACCAAAAATTTGCCGCTCTTTATAGACCTAGATGCACATAGCGCATAGCTATATAAAAAAATTAATAAATTCATAATAATATACTTATATCGTTCAAAATTCGATTTTTGTTGAGTTTTGAGTTTAACTTTTTGTATCTTTTTCTCGTTTCGTTTTATGCATATCTCTCTACTTTCGTTGCGTTTCGTTTTGCGTATATAATATGCTCGTACACCAAACAAAAAATACAAAAAAAAAAAACAAAAATATACCAAACACTTCACTCTATAAATCAGACGCCTAAACAACAATCGACTTAAGGCAATACCTGAAAACTTTGTGACAAGTTCAGCGAGTCTTTTGCGATTGTAAGTAATCAACGTAGATCTGTAGCAACTACATTTATATATAGTCTGCCTACATTTATTGTGTAGCAGTAGCCCCATAGATTTCAAACATTTACTGACTTTCAAATCCGTCCTCTTCCCGCTTACCCACCTGCCCGCCTGCTCACCTCTTCACCTCACTGCTGCCTGCCTACCTTCCTGCCTGCTAACCTCGACTCGCCTCGACAGGGACATCTCGCACAATGTCATCACAACGGTCGGCCGGAGGGTCTTTAAGGGCGCCCAATCGCTGCGGAGCCTTCAGCTAGACAACAATCAAATCACATGTATGGATGAGCATGCCTTCAAGGGATTGTTGGAGCTGGAAATACTGTGAGTACTGTGAGCCCCTGCAATTAGGGATGGGCAAACACAATGCAACATTCTGCTTATTTAGCTAGCTTAATCACATGGTCTAGGGTACTCTACCATAAGCTCATTGATATAGAAGAATGTTAGTGCAATTATAGATAAACAGTGTTGGAAAATTACGAAGTACTTGAAAAGCAAAACCAAATAGACTGTCAGTAGTAGTCAAAAATATCAATACATCTTATAAAAAGAGTGTCAAAACTTCAAATGAGTTTGAGCAATAGATCAATAACAAAGATATTGAGCTATCCATGCTATGTTGAGATAAGATATGCAATCCTAAATAATAGTATGGTAAACAGTAATACGAATCATGATATATGAATAATGAATAAATAAATTAACTATGTGTTCTAACAGTAAAAGAAAAGTCTTAGCACACAGGCGATTATGTTGTTGCCCATCCCTAAGTGTGGCTTAGCAAAGAGCCAACCAAAGATGCATTCACTTGATAATGCAATAATGCAACTTATTTTCCCCCAAGACCCACCTCTTAACGTAGCTCTGGCTCTCACTCTCTCTCATTCTCGCTTCTGCCTTCTCTTTTGTACTCGCACAGCACACTGAATAACAATAACTTGACCGCCCTGCCGCACAATGCCTTCGGGGGATTGGGAAAATTGCGGGCGCTGCGCCTCTCGGATAACCCGTTCGCCTGCGATTGCCATTTATCCTGGCTGTCGCGCTACCTACGCAGCGCGCCGCGGCTCGCCCCCTACACGCGCTGCCAATCGCCGTCGCAACTGAAGGGCCAAAACGTGGCGGACCTGCACGATCAGGAGTTCAAATGCTCAGGTATGGACTACATGACATCGCTGCGAGGCTGAGGCCCTCCAAAAATGGACAAATGTCGTGGGGCCTCAGAGAGCGATGCCAAATTAATTAGTTTTATATGCCAGCATTGACTGGAACAAAGCATTGTAAATCATAAGCAGTCATATGGGCACGCCCCACTGTGCCGCCCACTCAAGCCAACAACAATAACAGCAGCAGCGCCAGCAGCAGGAAGGGGGCTTAGCAGAAGGGACAGCAGGGGTTGAGGCGAGGGTCGGCAGCATCATCATCCTGTGTTTGCCAAAACGTTTAACGCCGTCATCGCTTGCTTGATTGGGATGCAGATGCTGCGGGCTACAGCAGCGTTTGGAAAGCCTCCCAATGGATCGACTCGACTCAACTCGACTCAACTCGACTCGAGTCGACACGACGCGACTCGACTTGACTCCGAATCCAAGTGAACAGCTACAAACTCTGGCGTTCAATGAAGCGGAAAATGTGCGCCAAACGATGCCATGAAACAAGTTTTTCATCCATCGTTATATTGTACTTGTTATGCTCTATGTCATAAAGAGTTACACACTTCCATCAAGCACTTTGGTACTTAAGCTGGCCAATACGTTAATGTTAAATGAGGCGTTAATTCGATTTTATTTCATTTGATTTGAGTCAATCTTTGCTGCCTGCTTAATGGCATATTTTATTTTTGATTGAACTCAGTTCAGTCTTTCGCTGACGAGCTCTTAATGGGTGAACATTTACTGGCAAGTGTTGGAAGTTGCTAAAAAAGGAAAATGTTTAGATAATAATTCAGTGAAAAGTCAAGTCCTGTTGGTAAAGAGTTATCACCTGACTATTAAATTAATTTATTCAGTTATTAATTGAAATTGAAAGAGCATTTCACATTCGTCAGCTTAGTTAGGGTTGTATTTCCTAGCGTGTGTTTGACTTTCGTTTTGTGTACAAAATGCTATGGAATTATGTGGGTAAACATTTATGACCAGCGGCAGCTGTGGCTCCAGTTGGAGCTTAAGCTGTAGCTGGGGCAGCCGTCAGCTGCATCTTGGCGCGCTGCAGTAGCATTCATAATTACGTAGTTGCTGCTGGTGAGGCTGCTTCGAACTTGCTACTGCTGTGGATCAAATCAAAGCCGAGTGGCTCAGCGCTGGGTTCGGTGAATGAGTCGCCGTAACCAGCTCAAGATGCAGTCTGCTTTACACTTGCTACAATTGGTATACACACACACTTGCAGGTCTCACCGAGCATGCGCCAATGGAATGCGGCGTGGAGAACAGCTGCCCCCACCCGTGTCGCTGTGCCGATGGCATCGTCGATTGCCGTGAGAAGAGTCTGACGAGTGTACCCGTTACACTGCCGGATGATACCACCGAGCTGTAAGTTTAGCCACATGGATAACAAATTTGGCCATATTGTAACTGCTTCCCCTTTTTCGTTAATAGGCGCTTGGAGCAGAATTTCATCACCGAACTGCCAGCCAAATCTTTCTCCAGCTTCCGGCGACTGCGACGCATCGATCTGTCCAACAACAACATCTCGCGCATTGCCCACGATGCGCTAAGTGGCCTAAAGCAGCTAACCACGCTGTAAGTAGATGCACATTAGCAACAAGTAGCGCATGCATATGCCAACAAAATGTGCAGTCGCTTCGCTGATTGTGTGGAGTGTCAGTCAGTCAGTGAGTCCGTCCGTCCGTCCGTCCGTCCGCCACACACTCCTCCTGACAGCCAGTGGGCCTAAGGGTCTCAGCTGAGGCTTGAGGGGCTAATCGGCCTACGCTAAGCGTTGCCAACACCGCAAGGCATCGGATTACCCGTGCTTGCCACAATGTGCTGCCCCGCCCACTGCCCCCCTTTTGGCAGAGTGTGAGGTTGTTTGTGTGCCAAACCAGTTGCCGCCCGCAATGACAACAACATAAGCCCACCTCAGCAACAACATGAAGCAGCACAGGTTCTGTCTGCCACTGTATACCCTATATGGTGCAGGGTATTTTGATTTTTTGGGGCGTTTAGACTTCATAGAGTGAAAATATTGCAAACCAAATGAGACTATTCTATATGCAATATAAAAGACATCTATAGCTAATTTTGTCGTTTGCTTTAGCTTTTGTGAAAACCCGCATCATAATATTATCCAGAAACAACAAGTAGTCTTAGGCGAAAGATGATCTAGAAGAGTATTCATTTATCAGCTTGTCTCTTTCGTACCAATTCGTACTTGTTCCGTATTTCCATTTGTGTTTTATTCATTTGCTTTGTCTTTTTCAACTTGTTTTTTCTCTCTTTTGCTTGCAGCGTGCTGTATGGCAATAAAATAAAGGATTTGCCCTCGGGCGTATTCAAAGGACTCAGCTCGCTGCAGCTGCTGCTTCTGAATGCCAACGAGATCTCCTGCATACGCAAGGATGCCTTCCGCGACCTGCATAGCCTCAGTTTGCTCTCACTTTACGACAACAACATACAGTCGCTGGCTAATGGCACATTCGACGCCATGAAGAGCATCAAAACGGTGTAAGTACCACGCCCCTTGCCCCGCCCGCCCGCCGCTGCATAAGAGCTTCCACGCCCCCACAGCCGCCCCCATTGAGAGGCTGGCTGTGGCTTGGCTGGCGAGCGCATGTTGCAAGTGGGGAGGCGCCCCTTGGAGCAGGCAGCTCCTTTGGCTTTTGAATGGAGGAGCTCCCAGGCACTTGGTGTTAAACCGCTGAAGTGCATTTAGTAATTCCTTTGACTTGGCAGCAACAGCGGCTCGCGTTGACATTTGTTTAGCAGCCAAACAACATCAGCACCGCCTTTTCTATGACTCCGCACAGCCCCCAGGGCCCCATCCACATCCACAAATATCGGCTGTGAACCGTAAAGACGTTCCACGAACAAAAGACGGCGCATTTTCTATAGGCCCCCAAGGGGCGGGAAGCAGGGACGATGGAGCATCGATAAATGCGCTGAGCTTAAGTGCTGTGCGGCTCTTGAGTTGGCCTACGCCTTTCTTGAGTGGGTTAAGTATTTGCCAGGGCTGTCAACTACAAAGCAAATAGCTGGCAAAAATGTGACCAATAGTAGGTCGAATTGATATCTTCACAATAACAAGCTGTTCAAAATGTGAAATTGAGGTATATACTAATAATAATGATATTTGATATATTTAATAATATTAAATGTGTCCCTTTACTCTTCTCATATTCGCAATCAGCACGAAATTCTTTAATTGAATTCGACTCAGCCGTTGAGTTCGATTTGTTGCAAATATATCTGAGCAGTTTATAAAATTTTAGTCGCTACTAATTTTAGCTCGTTTAGTAAAGTTTTATCCTCTAATTACAATATGATTTAAGATGATTTTAGTTGCTAGCTATTTTATGGCCACTCTGTCGCAAGGCATTGCCAGGGAAGGCTCTTGGGCAAGGATTGCCTTTGAAAATAGTTTTCAAAACGTTGGCGACAACAGCAACAAACAACGGAAACGTTGCAGCCGCAGGGCTCGTGCACTTTTAAGACGTCTCAAGCCTCCATCCACAACAGGCAACAGCAGTTTTGCCTTTCCTACCGCCATCCGCTGCTGCTCTCCCCCACTGCTCCTCTGCTCTCCGCGCCAGCTCCCTTCGCTCCCTTCATTCCATTCACTACAAATGCTCAATGCTACTTTCTTTCTTTCTTTCCATTTGCAACACAACGAAAAATACTTGTACATGTATACAAATAAATATATATACACATAAATGTGCGTGGGTATGTGTGTGTGTGTATAGACATTTGGCCAAGAATCCTTTCATTTGTGACTGCAATCTGCGCTGGCTGGCCGACTATTTGCACAAAAATCCCATAGAGACAAGTGGAGCACGCTGTGAGTCACCGAAGCGGATGCATCGCCGGCGCATTGAATCTTTGCGCGAGGAGAAATTCAAATGTAAGTGCGCCCGACGGGCAAACCAAGACAAGTAAAAGAATATGTCTTAACTTTGTGTCGTACCACCCCTCACACCCACCCACACCCACCCACACCCACACCCACACACCCACCCACTTGACAATTGTGCAGGTTCCTGGGATGAATTGCGAATGAAGCTATCCGGCGAGTGTCGCATGGACTCGGACTGCCCATCCATGTGCCAGTGCGAGGGCACGACGGTCGACTGTGCGGGACGTGGTCTCAAGGAAATACCACGCGACATTCCATTGCATACCACAGAGCTGTAAGTTACCAACAAGACCAAACTCCTAGAATACTTATCACAATACATTTTATATAAGTGTTATCCCTCCTTAAATGGTCGCCTCTTAAGGCAGTTCATAAATTATTCGCTAACCGCTTTTTATAGCTAAATTCCCCTTCTCCTCTTCTCTTCTGCTCGAAGTTATGTCTGATGGCTTAATGAACTGAATTGTTTAGTTGAATCTAATAGAATATATAGATAGATACGCATTTGTAGACCGATAAGGAATTAAGCAATACAAATGCCAAAATTTACGAATTCATAATTGAATCTAGGTCTGAGATATATAATGATTGTCAAATGAAAGACCTGAATATGGATTGCTTACTATTATTATTCATTATTATTTCTAAACAGTTTCATAAACTTGTATAACTATAGTTTTCAATATTCATCTAGTTTCTTCTGCATCCCAGAATGCCCTTGAAGCTTATTTTCAATAATAAGATGAATGCAAACATATCGAATTCGTTCATTAAATATCAGATCGCCTCGGATTTGTTATGTTCAAATAATTTGTAGTTTGCTGTAAATAAGCAGCTTACATTTAACATCAACTTAAACCTGACCATGTGTGTGTCTGTGTGTGTGTGTGTTTGCTTTCATAGTTTACTCAACGACAACGAATTGGGACGCATTAACTCGGACGGCCTGTTTGGACGATTGCCGCATCTGGTTAAACTGGAGCTGAAGCGCAATCAGCTGACTGGCATTGAGCCGAACGCCTTTGAGGGTGCATCGCGCATACAGGATTTGCAGTTGGGCGAGAACAAGATAAAGGAAATTTCGAATAAAATGTTCCTCGGACTGCATCAGCTGAAAACTCTGTAAGTCCACAAGGCATCATATGTACATATACACATATTCATTTATACACGAATACATCTTACAAATTTGTGACTTAATATAAACGTCTGCATTTTTACTTTTTTTCAATTGCAGCAATCTTTATGACAATCAAATTTCATGCGTCATGCCTGGTTCATTCGAGCATCTCAACTCGCTGACGTCTCTGTAAGTACTAACACGCCCCTGCGCCCCTGCGCCCCTACTCCCGCCCCTGGCACAGGCAACCGCCAGAAATTGCTGGCATTTGATGCGTCTGCTGGCTATGCATAGCTATTAAAACTGTGCCAAGTGGCCAAGCGGTGCGCTGCATGCACTTCAATAGATAAATGATTTAGCTTTGGCATTAATTGCCCCGTTCTTAGTTTACATGACCCCGCCCACGTCCCATCCACCACAACGCGCACAGGGCACAGGCACATAAAATGAGGTTAATGGTTTTGATTGTTCCCCAGTTGAACTTCATCTGATTGCCAGCATTTCACATCAAAACAGAAGCTGCTGCTGCTGCTGCTTCTGCTCGATTGCTTCTGCTGCTGCTGCTGCTGCTGCTGCTGCTGCTGCCGCTTTAACAAATCAGTTTTTCTTCGTAGCATGCCAACAACTATTGTATATAATTCAATTGAACTTCAATTTATAGCAGTGCTGCCTACGATAACAACTACACACACACAGACACACACACATGCTCATATGGCTCATGGCTCGCCCGCTGTCTTCGTGTATCCCAACTGCAGTGTGACTGAGTTGCTCCACATTGTTGTGCCTGTCTACTGTAAATCAACCCTCACTGTACACACGTACACGTACACGTGCACACACACACACACACACATACACATTTGCGGGTGTGCACTGCCTTCGATGATTTAATTAATTAAAATTGAGTTCAATAAAGAGCACTAAAGAATATACAGTACAACCTCGCTAAGTTGAACAAAGAGTAACTTTAAAATAAATCATCATTCCCTTGCTTATTTAACACTTTCATATTTAAATTTATCAATTGAGATTGCGAATGTGTTCAAGAAATCGACAGCTAATTGAAAAGAAATTTACATCATTTATTAAAATAAAAATAAAAAATATATAAAACAGTTGCACAATTCATGCTGGATGCCCAGATATTTGCTTGTCTGAAATTACTGATATTGATTTCTTCCTAAGCTGCACTACGAAGACAATTATTTTTAGTGTAATTTCTAAAGCATCAATAATTTATATATTTAAATCTGTAATTAATTCCATTAAAATTTGTGCTTGGCATGCAGCTTTTCTAACCTAATAATAACTTGAAGCATAAAATATTGCAATCCGATATTTTAGAAACTTTCTTAAGTTTTGCCATCTGTTAAGGTAACGTTGGCATATGTGGGTCTCGACTAAAGATCAACTTCATTGGGTCGCACTGTACTTAATGTGTGTGTGGTGCTTGGGGGGCGAGGTGCTGTGGTTCTTGGCCACATCTAAAATTATTGTAAAATTCATTTAACTAGCTAATAAATAGCATCAATGAAAGTCATTTGGAGCTGTGCACCACACGACATCCACATGCTCCGTCATTCAGGTGGATGGGCGGAGGACCTGTAGGTGCCAGCTGAAAGTGTTAGTTGGTTGCCTGCGGCTGCTCGCCCTACACTCCCACTCCCACTCCCACACACACACACACACACACACACCCACACGCAGAGCCAGCTGCTAGCCAATGTTGATAGCATGACAAAGCAGCATTGCTTATTAAATTAGTCTGGACTTGGTGTAACGTTTGGAATTGCCAATGTAATTTGCGAGCCATTGTTTCGCCTGCTTTCAGCCGAGCGCATAATTAAAGGACTTACGGCACTTATGCTGCTCCATGTGCGGCCCACTCGTATCCAAGTGAGCAGCAAGTGGAACATATGCTCCGCAAACAATTTGCCTGCTAAAAGTGCAAAATTGAAAATAATTAATGCAGCCATTCAAAGCTGTGCGCAGCCCAGGCTGATATTGAATATCTTTGTACTCATAATACAATTACGGCTAGTGTCAATCAGATTTGCAATTAAGCCATGCAGAAGAGCATGCCACAAATCAAATGAAAAGCTTTAACAAAATCATGCGAGAGATGCATCCCGCCGGATCGTAGAATTGCATTTTGTGTAGTAGTTTAATTTATGTTAAGTTTAGCTCATCAAAGTAACAGATGTTAAGCGTTAACATAACATAAAATAACATACACAAAAACTAATCCCTTTGAAGCTTTAATGTGCCTTATAACTAGTGTCTCATAAAGCAGTTCATAAAAGTGTTTATTTATTTAATAATAACTAGGCGTAGCCTAAGTGCAGAAGATTATTACAATCGTATAGTAAACCTCTCGTATACTTGTCTTTGCAGAGATGGGAAAGTGTCTTTGCACCTCTAGCTATATAGATTCGGCCTGTTTGCTTTTCGTTTCCCCTGTTTAAGCTTTAGACACGTATTTGTAACTAATTGAAATAAAACCTGTGCATTTACCCATCAATTTCGTAGGAATCTAGCATCGAATCCATTCAATTGCAATTGTCATTTGGCCTGGTTCGCCGAGTGGTTGCGTAAAAAATCGCTGAGCGGCGGTGCGGCACGTTGCGCTGCCCCAGCGAAGGTACGTGATGTGCAAATCAAGGATCTGCCGCACAACGAATTCAAATGCAGCAGCGACAACAACGAGGGCTGCCTCGGCGATGGCTATTGTCCGCCGGCCTGCACGTGCACCGGCACTGTGGTGCGCTGCTCACGCAATCAATTGAAGGAAATACCGCGCGGCATACCGCCCGAGACGTCCGAGCTGTACCTGGAGTCCAATGAGATCGAGCAGATTCATTATGAGCGCATCAGGCACTTGCGTGCGCTCACACGACTGTAAGTAACAGCTTGCCAGAGCTTGCTGCAGGCCCGGACTAACCGAAGCACACAAATTGTTTCTCTCTGCTTCATTTGCAGCGATCTCAGCAACAATCAAATCACCATACTATCCAATTACACCTTCGCCAATCTAACCAAACTATCCACGCTGTAAGTACTGGGCCCATTTCTAATGACTTTTTAATTGCCACAATGCGGCTCGTACGAGGCATTAAGGCAACACGAATCGAATCGAAACGTTTCAGCGTCAAGAGGGCTTGACACAATTTTTTCTTTGCTTTCTGCTTTTTTGCGGCAATTGCATTTTGCGGTTTGCTTTAGCTGTGGCAGTGGCTGTGGCTCGGTGGTGCGGCGCGGTGGCTGTGTCCGCCACCCTTGGCCTGGGCTCGTCTCGACCGGCCACGAAATTCATTCGAGACGTTAAGTCGTGACTCGTGCTTAAGCATTAGTTGTCCTCGTCCTCCACCCTGCCCCTGCCGTTCCAGTCCGTCGAGCTTCTGCCGTCTGCCGCTTGGTGCCGCTTGTGTGCACAAGCCGCAGTCTGCAATCAAAGCTGTGGCGTATTTCATACCCTGTACGCATCACCTCTGCGGTCTATAATAATATTATTGCACTGTTGGCTAATGTCAGAAACACGACTAAAGTGAAAAAAATCTGCATAAAAGCAGCATATGCTATCGAAGTGACTGTCGGATCTGTCATCTCACCCACCGTTGGGTGGGTAAGGTCGATGCGCAACTACAGGGTATCCGCGTAGTCAGGCGAATGCAGCCCTCGCATCTTCAATGCATTTCTTTTCAATTTCGTGTGGCGGGCTTGAAACGTTTCGCAATTACTTTCATTTCTTCATCATCGATGTGTGTGCTGCATGTGTCCGCAATTTGGTAAACGCTTCATTTTCCACATCTTCTGCTTTTCATTCACTTATTATGTTGCTTTTCCTTCTTTGCCGTGTGCTGCAGCATCATTTCGTACAACAAGCTGCAATGCCTGCAACGTCATGCGTTGTCTGGTCTAAATAATCTGCGCGTGCTCTCGCTGCATGGCAATCGGATATCCATGCTACCGGAGGGCTCCTTCGAGGATCTCAAGTCGTTGACACACATGTGAGTAACGGTTTCTTTCTTCTGCTCTCCTTAACTTTGTTAACCTCTGTTGACCCTTCACCCTTTGTTAACCTGGCACTTGCAGTGCTTTGGGCAGCAATCCCCTGTACTGCGACTGCTCGCTGAAGTGGTTCTCGGACTGGATCAAGCTGGACTATGTGGAGCCGGGCATTGCACGCTGCGCCGAGCCGGAGCACATGAAGGACAAGCTGATACTGTCCACGCCCTCGTCGAACTTCGTGTGCCGTGGGAAGGTGCGCAACGAGATCCTGGCCAAGTGCAATGCCTGCTACGAGCAGCCCTGCCAGAACAAGGCCCAGTGCTTGGCCCTGCCCCAGCGCGACTACCAGTGCCTCTGCCAGCCGGGCTATCATGGCAGGCACTGCGAGTTCATGATCGACGCCTGCTACGGCAATCCCTGCCGTAACAATGCCACCTGCACGGTGCTGGAGGAGGGACGCTTCAGTTGCCAGTGCGCGCCGGGTTACACAGGCGCCCGCTGCGAGACGAACATCGACGACTGCCTGGGCGAAGACATACGCTGCCAGAACAACGCCACCTGCATCGACGGCGTGCAGTCGTACCGCTGCGAGTGCCAGCCCGGCTTCAGCGGCGAGTGGTGCGATACGAAGATTCAGTTCTGCAGCCAGGAGTTCAATCCCTGCGCGAACGGGGCCAAGTGCTTGGACCACTTCAGCCACTACAGCTGCGAGTGCATGGCCGGCTTCCATGGCATCAACTGCACGGACAACATCGATGACTGCCAGAATCACATGTGCCAGAATGGCGGCACCTGCATCGACGGCATCAACGATTACGTCTGCAAGTGCCCGGATGACTTCACGGGCAAATACTGTGAGGGCCACAACCTGATCTCCATGATGTATCCGCAGACGTCGCCCTGCCAGAACCACGAGTGCAAGCACGGCGTTTGCTTCCAACCGAATGCCGCCGGCTCGGACTACCTGTGCAAGTGCCATCCGGGCTACACGGGCAAGTGGTGCGAGTACTTGACCAGCATCAGCTTCGTTCACAACAATTCGTTCGTGGAGCTGGAGCCGCTGCGCACCAGGCCCGAGGCGAATGTCACCATTGTCTTTAGCAGCGCCGAGCAGAACGGAATCCTCATGTATGACGGCCAGGATGCGCACTTAGCCGTGGAGCTGTTCAATGGACGCATACGCGTTAGCTATGATGTCGGCAACTATCCGGTGTCCACAATGTACAGCTTCGAAATGGTCGCCGATGGCAAATACCATGCCGTCGAGCTGCTGGCCATCAAAAAGAACTTCACGCTGCGCGTGGATCGAGGCCTGGCCCGTTCCATCATCAATGAGGGCGCCAATGATTATCTGAAACTGAGCACGCCTATGTTCCTGGGCGGTCTGCCGGTGGAGCCCGCCCAGCAGGCTTACAAAAACTGGCAGATACGCAACTTGACTAGCTTCAAGGGCTGCATGAAGGAGGTCTGGATCAATCACAAGCTCGTGGACTTTGGCAATGCGCAGCGGCAGCAGAAAATCACGCCGGGCTGTGCTCTGCTGGAGGGTGACCCCTCTGAGGGCGAGGAGGACGACGAGCAGGACTTCATGGACGAGACTCCGCACATTAAGGAGGTAAGTCTGTGGGATAGCTACCAATGAAACCTTTGCTAATCACCTTGCTAATCCACGCAGGAGCCCGTCGATCCCTGCTCGGAGCACAAGTGCCGTCGCGGCAGTCGCTGTGTGCCCAATGCCAATTCCAAGGATGGCTATCAGTGCAAATGCAAGCACGGCCAGCGCGGACGCTACTGCGATCAAGGTGAGGGCATCACAGAGCCCCCAACAATCACGGGTACATATTGCGATCTCTCATTCCAACATACATTCGATCAGCTCAAGCGGCTTGCGTGCTACGATTCAAGAAACAATAGGATAGAAACTGTTTAGAGTTTAGGGATTACCATTTCGATAGGCGAACTACTCAATTCTTGAACGTTGGGAGATTTATAACATGTCTATCATTACAAATGAAATGTTTAGCTTTATTTTACTTAAGAAATCCCCCTTCAATTATGCACATATATATCGCCTGATCTCATAGTCTATTCATTGATAATCGATAAACAGGAGTAGTCGATATCTAAATGAGAATGTGAGTGGGATAACAGGCAGGAGGAGAAGTGGCAGCCCCCATAAAATATATATCACATATCTGTTAGATTTCGTGTTTTTAGCGTGAATTGCCAAAATTAGTGCTGAATACTAATCGAAATATAACAGATATTTGAGAAACAAATAGAGATACATACTTCACCCACCGATTGTTTCAAACTTTTGGCAATTAGGAGATTGGCTCCATTAATATCCTAGTTGCTCCGATTCTAAATGTCTAGGAATTAAATAAAGCTCTCGCCACTTGTCATATGCATAGGTTATAGCTTCCATTACATCGAGCAAATTGAGTGTAAATATATGTATATTATAAAGTTTCCGTAAAGTTGTACCAGCTCGTTGGCAGTTCTCATCTGTAAGGGGAGGGGGAGAGGGAGGGGGCTAGAGGCAGTTATAATTTACTAGCCGGCATTCACACTGATGCCACGCCTTGCGCCTTCAAAGAAACCGTATAATATGCCAGCCGACCAACTTTCTGACAACTTAGACAGCCTTTCACCCAGCTGCCCCGAATCGCAACGCATCCGCTAGGCTATGCTGCATAACTTCATTTGCTTGCTCACACACACACCCTCATACACTCACATACAAAGCCTACATCAAACACACATCAAACATTACACGCCCATTTCATCTCTCATGTATCTAGACTAGTAAAAAGGGACAGGTGTTCCAGGCGTGTCTGTGTCTGTGCCTGTGTGTGTGTGGATGTGGGTGTGTGTGTGCGTAATCTCATTAGCCGTCTAACGCCGCCGCCTTCTTGTCAAAGGTGGTTCACTAATTGCATTTTCCCGTTCGGTTCCACTCTTCACTGCAGCCGCCGCTACGTGTCGCAAGGAGCAGGTGCGTGAGTACTACACGGAGAACGACTGCCGCTCCAGGCAGCCGCTGAAGTACGCCAAATGCGTCGGCGGTTGCGGCAATCAATGCTGCGCGGCCAAAATTGTGCGAAGACGCAAGGTAAGTGCAAAAAATTATTCCATTATAGATATATTTATTTATTCTATACCACCAATTAAAGAACTACATTCATATATGAAAAGGATTTTGTATATCAATTATAGCTATTATTATGTTGGCCAAAAACCCAGTTCGGGCATACTTGAAAGCCTTACCCGCAGGATATGTTTTCCATCCAGAATCTAGGCTTGCCTCAATTTTCCATTTGGTTCTATCTGCCTATGGCCTACCTATTCAAAATGTTCATTATTCTACAAATGTTCATAATTCCCAAATGAAATTTGCTAAAAAAAAAAAGTAACCAATACGATGAGGTCTAGGCGAAATTTAATATTAAGAATATTTATTTCTAATTAAATTCCATTTATTATTTTATTTTAATATAGCATAAGTAATTGGCATAAACTATAATAGGAGCTTGAAAATCAGATCAGAGTAAAGTTTAAGACCTCACTTAATAATTCATAAAACAATATTTATGTACATATCCAGTGTTATATAAGAACAAATTAATTATAACGCAATCACCTGATTAACTTTTCTCTTCAACAGGTGCGCATGGTATGCAGCAACAACCGCAAATATATCAAGAACTTGGATATTGTGCGCAAGTGCGGGTGCACCAAGAAATGCTACTGACTGAAAGATGCGACTACCCCATTGCTTATACGAAGCAATAGCAGCTTAGATGTTAGTTTAGGAACACAATTAAACTTAACTTATAATATGAGTAACAACAATAATAACAGTAACTATAATAATGATGATAATAGTAGTAGAAATAGTAGCAGTAGCAGTAGTAGTAGAAGTAGTATTAACCTTAGTCTTAAGCCGCATAGCAGTAGATTTAATGGCACGGGGCAGCAGCAGCTGGGCGTGGCTGCTGCTGACGAGAGACAGGAGGCGGCTTCGGCTGCGATGGATGGCGAGGATGACTATGCCATGGAGGACATTGAGGCGGACACAGAACGCATGCAAGCGGACCTCCATGGCGAGGACGTAGACGATGATGATGATGACGAGGTGATGAGCTTATTTGCAGATGATGACGATGACGATGAGGATGATGATAATGAAGATAAAGATGATGAGTATGATGAGGATGATGAGGAACCGGAGCAGTTGCCTGATCCCAAGAGTCTTATCTCAGCAACAGCCCAACAGCAGCCGCAGCTGAGTGACGAAGAAGAAGACATGGGCTATGACGAGGACGATGAGCGTCTGGCCTTGGAGCGACCCCGCACAACGCGCCCGCGTGCCGACGAGGAGCATTTCGTAAATGAAGAGGGCAGCGGCGCCGGCGGCGGCGCAGGCTACAAGTCACGCTTCAGGCCAAACAACAGCTACAGGCAACTGCACCTGGAGAATATTCGGAAGAAGCTGCTCACAGAGAGTCAGCAGCAGGAGCCGGCTGTGGCGGTGGCCGTGCCGAGCACTGCGATTGATCTGCGCGAGAGCAGCGGCCATTTTGCTAACGATGATGAGGATGGCGAGGATAACGATGACGGTGTCGATGATGAATACCCTGACAATGGCGACAGCGCTGGCTTCTTTGGGTCGCAACGCTCGAAGAGCAACTCCGGCTCGAATCATTATTTCCGCAAGAATAGTAATGATGCGATCAAAATTATATCCACGCCCCTGGGCAAGGTGGGCATTGTCTATCAGCAGACGCCCACCGATGCCGATGGGGACCAGCAGCAGCATCAGCTGCATGCGAACAAGCAGCTGGACAAGCAGGCGCCGCAGAAGCCAGCGACACAGTTCACAGACTTCGATGCCTTGTCACCGGATCCGGAGAGCAGTCATCGTTTTCCGTCGCCACATCCGAAAATAACGCCCGTACTAACACCCGATGGCAAGGTGGCGCTGCTTTATCGCGGTGATTCGGAGAGCTCCAAGTACGAGCCCATACGCAACCTGACGCATAAGTTTACCAGCTCCAGCTCTGCTAAGTCAGCATCCGAGCAGGCCAAGGCGAACAGTGACGACTCCTCGGACGACTCCTCCGACGACTCGGTCTACACGGACAGCGAGGACGAGAGCGCAGGAGACAGACCAGTTCCAGCCCCGGGCTCAGCTGTGACTCCTAAGCCAATGCAGCCAGAGATACTGGAACCGCCGGCCCATGCTCCAAACGGCGGCAGCTTCATAATACGACCCACCTCTGATTCACTGCTCCCCATGATCAATCGGCCCCTGTCCGAGGTGCTGGGCATCAAGAAAAATCAGTTCCAAGAGACGCGTGTGCGTGACCACCTGCCCATGCTGGGCGTCACTGAGGCAACGCCCCGCTCTCTACTTGCTCAGCCCGCACAAGAGGCCGAGCACAAGCCGAGCAGCAGCCTGCACTTCCTCACCAAGGTTAATCTGGCCGAATACCCCACATCCAAGCAGCAGTTGCCGCACTCGCTGGGCCAACTGCCCACAGGACGTGACTTTGACTTCAGTCTGGATAATACCATGCTGGACGAGAGATCGCGCGTGCGTGAGCTGGAGCGGCAGCGGGAGCGGGAGCGAGAGCACAATGAAGCCACCAGCAAAGGCGCCACCGAAGCTCACACAATTGCCAACGAACAGTTGCTGTCCAAAACGGAGGTCATCAACTTGGCCATAATACCGCAATTCGATGAGGACATGGAGAGTCTGCAGCGCTTGCACGAGAGCAGCGGGCTGGGCAGCCGGCGTCACCATCGAACGCGCCATCGCCACCGGCAGACGGACGAGGAACTGTCTGGCATTCATTGCGTCATGCAGGTCATGATGGGCATTGCTGCCGTATCCACAGTTTTTGGAATGCTGGGCACCTTCTTTAAGCAGCGCATTCTCGATCAGCTGCGACTGATGCACTGGTAGTACAACAATGGGTATTCGATCCGCTTCGAATACCTTCCTGAACCCAAACCGAACGTAAATCCTCGAGAAGCACAGGGTTCATCAGGCTCATCATCATCGTCATCATCATTATCGACATTATTATCATCATTTGTTGTTCTGATCTACTCCTCTAACCCACTCTGACTACTAGCACAGGAGGCGCAACTTTTACCCCTTAATACTACTACTACTGCGCTCACTCTATATGACCTCCACAAACATACATATATATATATATACATATATCATATGCCATATTTATATTCATATATACACATATATACTCTCTATTAGGTAGATCTGGAAAACTGTCGTCTGTTTTAGATATAAATTCGCCAACTTTCTTTAAACTAACTCTGAATATTGTTGACAAACTGTTAAGATAATGTTAACTCATTAACAGCACTAACCAGAGACACTAACCAGAGAGCTCTCTGGTTAGTGGTTAGAGTGTCAAAAACATCTAGTATTCTTTCCCTTTTACGTAAGGCTGTTAACGTCATCATTTACAGTTAAATGACTGATACTGTTAATACCACCATGTTAACTATATATTAACAGCTGAGACTGAAGTCTGAAACAGTCTCTCGTTGTCACATTAATAATTTAACAATTGTGTTAACATTATTTAAATTGTATTATCTTCAAGTTTTCCACTTCTGCTCTCTATATATACACACATACATATATCAAATCAAACAATTATGCAAAATTTTTTTTCCCCTAGGAGCGTCCCTGCTTTTGCATTTTCCCATACTTCTAGTATACTTCCGCTTCTTTATATATAAAATATATATACATATATACAATATTTATATACTTACTAGCAAGCTACCCAGGCGATGTACATATAAAAGCACACATTAACTGAAAATTATACGACTATATGTATATGAACGCAACTGTAGCCCCTGCCAAAAATCTAAGGATATTTGAACTTTCCTCTCTTTTTCCCCAACTTGTTTTCGTATTTCCAAACCTGTTTTCCCGTTTAATCAATTTCAAATACATTCACACACACACACACATGGTCGAGTGTACAAGCTTTAAGCAAGTCATTGCATGTGCCACGCCCACGTCGCCAACGCACGCCCACAAATAAATGCCCCGCCCAAAAAAAATAAATATATATATATTTAAAAAGATGATATATAAGAACATTCCCTCGCCTGCGTCCTGTCAAAGAGAATCGAATTGTAGCAACAGTTTCCTTTTGTAGATAGAATACAGTTGTTTAAAAAATTAAAACGATAACGATAACGATAACCGATAAAAACAATGAAACGATAATACGAAAACTTCAAAATCAGCTGCACACCACAATATATAACGGGCGTTTTAAACGCGCCGTAAATTCAAAGAAACGAGTAAAAACGGTAATACTAATGATAAGCATGCTTAACGAAATTCTGTTTAAGTTAGTAAGTTGCTCAACAACAAAAACAAGGAAACAAAACAAAAACAACAACTATAAGCAAGCAATTGAAATGAAAACAAAACCAAGAACAAAATGCTTACGAATTTTCAACAATTGTTGCAAAGTGTTTTTCTAGCAGTAGTGTAAAAAATAATAGAAATTGAATAATAATAATAAAAAGTAATAATAATAATAATATTAACTGTAACTAAATGTGTGCTAAACGTAACTAACAAATGAGAAGCAAACAAACTAAAAAAGTAAAGAAAATCCTAAACATAAATCGGATAACAAACATCTAAGCTGGGTAGTCGCATGTAAATCTCTAACAATTAACAATTACCAACCTAAGTTAGACCTAATTAAATATTATAAAGTATAAAAAAAAAGAAAACAAATTACGAATTGCATTTAAAGAACCTACACCTAAATCTAAACCTAAACCTTTATATATAAATATATATACATAATTATTTATACTAATCTATATATGTATGCTATATGTATGTATAACTCTATGTATGTAAAATGTTTTTGTCTATTTTTCACTATTTATACATATGCTATATACGACATATACTATTTGTAAACGTTCGCGTTCGCCTTTATTTCGTCAACGTTTTTGTTTAGTTCTGTCCTTACATGCTATATATACGTATATCCATGTATGAATATGTACTACATATATATTTTTATTAATGTATAACTATGCGCACTAATTATATGCATATGTGTAACCAATCGAAAATTAAATGTGTAATAGCTGTTGCTAAACGTTAACTTCAGTTCTGTTTTTATCATTACTATAAACTATGATTATCATTATTATTGTTTTTCTGTCTTGGCCTTGAGCCCTAAAGGAAATCGATGGCTAAATCCAACTTACAAAAGAAAGTTCAAAAAGAGAATAACATTTTCGACATAACATTATAGGCACATCGAATGCTTTGATTTCCGTGTGTAATATTTATTTGATAATAAAAATGATAAATATGTTCAACAATACCGTGCAGTTTTTTTCTGATTTGTTTTATGCATATGTATATTTTTAATTGTAATAGCCATTCAAACAACAGCCGCGTTTACAGTAATGAGTTCCCAGTCTCAAATCCTTTCTTCGAAGTCGTGGATATTTCCTTCTGGGTGCCAGTCCAGTATTGTGGCGACATTTAGTTAAAGTCAAAAGCATTTATCACCAGGAGCAGGAGGTTTTGTCTCCGGATGACCCCAGAAGTTGGTATATTTCGTATTTGTTGTCGCTGTGACGTTTGAATGTGACCGTAAGGAATATTTGTTTCTATATTAGTCTACGAAATTATCAAACTATCATTCAAGCCTTAAATTGGTTTTCGGGACTGCTCCAAATGTGCTAGACTCTTCCCAGCTCAAAAAGTTACACTTTCTCCATGTCTAGCAGATTATGCACGAGAAGAGTTTTCCAACTGTTCGATTCAAATTCCGTTGATCATCTGGTCAACTCTGAGGACTGTCGCCATTGGAAATGAAAAGGAAAGTCGCTTATGCTTATGCTTATAGATACATATATGATCAAAGTTTATTCAATTCAATTCACATTCAAAATCATCGCTTAAAGACAATCAATTCATCGATAGGTCATGAAGGAGGAGCTGTGGAATAAAATCAGAAATGATGAGTCAGATACCCAATTCGAAAATAGAGAGTTCACTTACCCGCCATAGCTTGGCTTCTGGTTGTTCGGGTTGCTTGTTTGGGCCAAGTTGCCAAAGGAGAGACCTGTGTCGGTGCCACCGAGCGTTTCAAAGATATTACCCTCTGGCGGCTTGGCTGGAGCACCAAAAGCTGGAGGAGCTACGATGCCGGAGCTGGTTCCAAATGTGCCGAAGCCCTTGGGACTACCAAATGTGGGCGCGCCACCAAATGTGGGGCTTGCGCCAAAGGCAGGACTACCGCCAAACACGGGCTTGGCGCCAAAGGCAACAGTGGGCGGTTGAGTTTGCTGCTGAGGCGAGCCAAACCCGGATTGAGCTACCGAGTTGCCACCGCTCTGGCCAAAGACGCCGCCACCGCCAAAAGCGCCAGGCGTAGGTGTTGTTTGGCTGAAGCTGCCAAAGCCACCAGAGCTGCTGCCACCCCCAAAGATGGAACCTCCTGAGGAAATTGGCGAGGTTGTACTGGCAGCGCCACCGAAAATTGAGCCGCCTCCACCAAAGGCCGATGGCTGAGTTTGGGCAGAGCTGGCATTGCCAAAAAGATTTCCGCCACCAGAGGCAGCCGACTGACCAAATACACTCTGCCCAAAGATGGGCCCAGAGGGCGCAGCGGCTGGAGGACTTTGCGTGTTATTGCCAGCGCCACCAAAAATGGAGGATCCGCCAACAGCACCGCCGCCAAAGAGCGAAGGACTGCCAGCACTGCTGCCACCACCAAAAATGGAGCCGCCACTGGCAGCAGTGCCAAAGCCGGAGGGCTTTAGAGCCGTAGCTTGCCCAAAAATGCTGCCGCCAGTGGCAGCCGGTGCGGCAGGTGAGCTGCCAAATGGCAACGGGTTGCTCGTCGCTGCAGCCGCGAAAAGACCAGTGGGAGGTGCAGCTGGGCTGGTAGCAAACACGCTTGCCTCCGGCTTGGGCACATTGCCAAAAATATTGCCCGACGGCGGCTGCGAAGCACTAGCTGCAGTAGGAGCAGTGACTCCAAACGGACTGCTGACCGTTGTGGCGGGAGTAAAGGCGTTCGACCCACCAAAAACTGAGCCAGGTGTACTGCTCGTCACGGATGTGGCTGAGCTGGTTGCTGCTGTAGAGCCTCCAGATGCGCCGCTTGTCGTGCCCAGGTTGCTGAAGGAATTCGCGAATGAGAAGCTGCTGCCTGGTGCAGCAGCTGCATTCGTGCTGCTGACTCCCATAGCTGTGGAAGTGGGTGCTGTTGTGGCACCAGCAACTGTTGGCGCTGCAGATGTACTTGGAGTTGCAACTGGTGTTCCTGATGGTGTTGGCAACGCAACTGTAGGTGTAGCTGTAGCTGCTGTTGGTGCTGCTGATGCTAATGTTGACCCTGTAGACGCTGCTGTTGTCGTTGTTGCTAGTGTTGCTGCTGGTTGGCTAACTGCAACACCAGTGCTGACTGAGCCACCAAACAAACTCTTGCTGGCATCGCCCGCGGCGGAAACAGCTGGAAAGCTGCTAGTGGCGCTTTGACGGAAACCACTAAAGATGTTGGCCGGTGCAGTGACTGTGATTGGAATAACATAAGATTAACAAGGTTTCAGCAAGGAGGTTCAAGTTAGAGTTACTCACCTGCTGCGTTGTCCTTACTCTGCGGTTTGCATATGTTCACAGAGCCAAATAAATTGTCAATGGGCAGAGCACTGCTGGTGGTAATGGATGCAGCAGACGAAGTGGTGCTGCCAGCGCTGCTGGAACTGGCTGCATCGCTGCCTGCAGCAGGAGTAGCAACTGTAGCTGCTTCTGTCACAGTGGGCGCTGCTGTTGTAGCCGGCTTGCTGCTGCTTGCGGTTGTCGTGGTTGCCGCTTGAGGAGCAACCGCTGGAGCAGCTGCAGGCGCAGAAGTAGTAGCTGCAAAGAGTGAGCCGCCAAAGCCACCAAAGCTGAAGGTCGAACTTCCGCCGCCAACAGTGCTGCCCGCATTGCTGCCAAAGCCAGAGAAGCTGAATGGCTTACCAGCTGGCTCAGCTTTTGCTGCGCCGCTGCTTGGTGCCTGAGTCTTCGCAGACTCGGTAACAGCAGCCGCGGGGGCTGACAGATCCACAGGCGGTGGCATATCCTTTTTAGTCTCTGCAGGCTTCACACTCACTTCCTTGGGGGGTGTAGCTGATGGCTTAGGCTTGGCTGCTTCTACACTGACACTGAGATTGCCAAAGCCCGCAAAGGGAGAGGAGGCAGCCGCAGCTGGACTTTGCGACGTGGACGTCGCACTTTGGTCGCCAAAAGACATCATGGGCTTCGCCCCACCAAAGCTGAATGGCGCAGCGCCACCAAAGAATGATGATTTGGGCTGTGCAGCCTCGCCAGAGCTCACCGTAGTCGTGGTCACCGTCGACGCCGTAGTTTTCACAAACGGACTGCTCTGGCTGAAGCTGAACGACGACGGCGCAGGCGTAGGCGCCAATGCAGGTGCCACAGCAGGCACGCTCTGCGCCTTCTCCCCGGCAGCAGTGCCTGCCGGCTTGGAGGTGGTAGGTTTGGAGGCAGTGGGTTTGGCCAGCTGCGTGGGCACTGCAGCAGCTGCCTGAGTTGCCTTGTGAGCCACAGCTGGCTTAGCGCGCGCAGCTGCAGTGGTGGCTGCGGCTGCTTGCGTCTCTGTCTTTTTCTTGAGCTCTGCTTTGAGCTTTGTCTCCAAAATAACTTCTGACTTAAGACCCACACGATCCGGCCTTTGTGGACGGATGACGGTCACGGGGCGCTGCTGCAGCAGCTGTCGTATGCTCTTGAGCTTCTGCTGTGAGAGCTTGGCGCGGTTTGTGTCTACCACATGGCTCAAATTCATAGAGAGTATGGAGTCCGCCAAAGTGTCGACGCTGTCGCGAAAGCAATGGGGTAATAAAAGATATTTACATTCTATATACTGTATACACACGCTTCGTTAGTACGATTGCGACTGGACTCCTGGTTTAACATGGCGGACTGCAGCAATCCGCGCTCCTTTAGTTTCGATTTAATGTTGTTCAGCAGGATGCGCTGATCGGAGGTCGAGTTCTGCAGACGCGTCAAACGCTGATAGATGCCTTCCAAACAGGGCATATTCATTTTCGACTTGGAATTGCGACGCAGCACGTCCTGGTACTGCTCCCATTGAGCGTCGATTTGCTGCTGAACCTGCTGCAGCTGCGCCTGGTTGGCAGCCAAGTAGCTCTGCAGTCGGGATAGTATACGACGTCCAGCTGCATCAAAGTTTGTGGAAGTCATCAGGCGCGTTATGCTGAAAAGAATTTTATATGGAATTGTAGACAAGCACTGTTACCACTCCCACTTACTCTGGCTTCTTGAAGACCTCTAGCTTGGCGCGACAGTCGGCGGTCATGACATAGGCTTCGCTCAGAGCATGACGCAACCCCTGAACATCCAGCTCGAAGTCTACATCGTTCGCTTGATCGTTTAGCTCTTGCAGATCCTCCAGTCGCTTGGCATAGGACTTGATCGTGGATGGCGACTCAATCTATGAACGAGTTTTCATTCTTGTATTACATATGACACAGAGCGGCATAAGTCTTACCTGAGCAAGTACGGCTCGTGTCTGCTGCTTTTGCTGCTCGATCTGCTCAGTGAACGCGCTGATCTGCACGTTCATGATCTCTACGATCACATCGTCCACTTCGCCAGCGCTGAAATCGGAGCTCTTGCTTGCCGCCGGCGGCTGCTTCGGGGTAGCAGTGGCAGCGGGAGCGGGCGTGAAAATAGGGGGCACTGTATAAAGAGGTTTGCTGCTGCTGGTGCCCTTATTGGCAACAGACGCGGCCGATGGCATGGTCGAGAGTGGCTGCTGCGCAGGAGCAGCTGCCTTCAAGTTGCCAAAGCTTGGTGCACTGTTGCCCCCGACTGGCAGGCTAAACATAGATGTCGATGCCGTGGGTGCAGCTTTGCCCGCTCCAAAGCCGCCAAAGCTGGGCGCAGGCATCGAATTGGCTGCAGCAGCGCCGAAGCTAAGAGGCACAGTGGAACCACTGCTAAACGTGGACGGCATTTTGTTGGCCTCGCTGGCAGCAAAGCCAGCAAACATCGACGACGGCTTATCCTTCGTGGGCGCCGGAGTGGAAGTGACTATGTTAGATGTGAAGGCAAAGGACATGTCTTGAAGAGGGGCGGGCGTACTGGCCTCTACTGAAGCTGCAGGCGCTGCAGGTGCAACTGCTGCTGACGCAGCTGCTGGTGGCTGCTGCTCGGCGCCCAATAGAGCATCCAGTGTAACAAATTTTCCTGAAGTGTCCGCCAAGGGCGGCGGCGGAGAACAAATGGAAACGGCTCCCGGCTGTAGATTGAGAAAGTTAAAGGTGAGCAAGGTGCCATCGGTGCCCAGAACATGGACCATAGGCATGGTGGGCAGCTGTTGGTCGTTGATGCTGAGCTGATGTGTGCTGGAGATGTCCATGGCGAAGCCCAATGGGAATGTCTCCTCCTGTGTAGCTTCGCTCAGCGGCATCTCAATGCGCGCCTCGTCCAGCAACGTTAGCTGCTGCCAGCTGGGCGTATCGCCCGTCTCCGAGGTGCCCAGTACTCCGACTTCCACGCCGTTTGCAGAGCTAACCAAGAGAAGATTCCACTGGGGCACATGCGTGAATTGGAACTGATGACTGCGTGGTCCATTTAGACTGTAGCAAATGTCGTAGTAGTTCGTATAGGTGGGCACGCCCGCCTTGGGTGCATTAACTATGTACAAGGCAGGGTTACAGTCTTCGCCCTGCTGCAAGAAGATCACAGCAAACTGGAACGTGGACAACCAGTGCACGGCAATCGTGTCGAAGGGGCCATCGTGCACATTAGGTGGGCAAGGCAGCGTCTTGGCAGGTGTCAGATCCGGCTTGAACTGTTGCAGGCGACCACTGGGAAAGCCGAGCACCAGCTGCTTGCCCTTGGGCGACCAGCAGCCGCACTTCACCTGCTGACTCTTGTCCAGCGAATGCACCTCGAAATTGCCGCCATCCTTTAGGGCATACATTGCCAATCCTCCGTTGCTCAGCACCACGGCCAAGCTGTTAGGCAGCACTGGATTCCACAGCAGCTGCAACCCGAGGACATTATCCTCGGGAGCTAATCGTATATTATAGACGATTCGAACCTCGGGGCTCATAAAGGACTGCACGGCATATATGGGCAGCATGCTGGTGCCATTCGGTTGCGTATAGTTAATGGCCAGCAGGTTTCCATCGGCGCTGCAGGATATTATGTTGGGCTTATTAGGTAGATTGACGAGTCGCGCCAAAGGCTGCTTTCCGCTCGTCTTGGCTGCAGCTATATCCTTAACGATGATGACTATCAATTAGAGATTACTTTAAATTAGTGTGTTTCAAAAACTAACAAGAAATAGTGAAAATACTTTTTAATTCCGGCGCATTGGGATTGCCGGCAAAGAGCAGTCCTCGACTGCTGGAGACTGCTAATAGATTCACGTTGCTGCGCGGATCGCCACATTTTCGAAACGCCAAAAACTTGTCGTGCAATTTGAATTGAATTTCCTGCAAATAGAACATTGAGCAAAATAAATAAAAAGAAATTATATATACATACATAACCATTTATTAAAAAGCTATTGGCATACCTGTGTGTCTTTACAGTTGGGTGCATTTTGCGCCATTTTTACGCGAGGTGTGTGGCTGCCTTTACACGTCCTTTAATAGACAAGCTGCTAATATTTTCCAGTAAACTAAATGTTTCTTATTCACTTGACCGATAAATATAATTATAACATTGTATATATAAAAAACAAATAAAATCTAATCAATTAATTTTGCAAACAACGTGTTGCCTATGTTACTTTACTTAATGTCGGCAAGAATCCAACTATCGATAACAATGCACAAAATTATTTCTATATCGATAGGTAAAGAAAATTACCAATCAGCGAATTGATGCCCGTTGGCAGTGCCGTGCAACAGCTGTTGCTTAATGCATATCGAAAATCGATAGTACATAGCTATACTTTTTGCGACATATACACATCTCCAGCTGTGTTGTTGTTTGTCTGTCTCTGTCTGCGTTTTTGTTTAACAAAAGCATTGTTCGCGCGCGCAATGCTAAAAAAAAGAACTGCATCAAAAAGTCGAGACGGAAGTGAACGAAAAATGTAGTTAAAACGATTGGGCAATTTAAAGGAGTGCTGCGCAACACGGTGCTACGGTGTTGTTGTTATCATTGTAATAAGCAAACTCAGAATCACAGCAACCAAAAGAAAAAAGCATTAAGCAACGTAAATGTCAAAATTTTGTATGTTTTGAAACGAGTACACATTTAAACAGAAACTAGCTTTAGTAGAACGACTGCAAATTAGGCGAGTTATTGTGCAAGCCATCATAAAAAATAAGGTAAGCCCCAGTAACAGAGCGCTGCTAATTGACGAAGAGTGCGAGTTCCTTCACATGTAATTGAGTTTTCATTTGTTCTACGCGACTGCAGCGGCAGACAAACACAAGGGCAGACGCAAAAGCCGACGCAGTGCTATCTCCAGCCGAAAAAGAGCGTAACAAAGGACGCGCAAAACTTTCAATATGATCAGCAGCTTGTTTTCACGCTTGATAATGTGAGTAAGAACCCAAATAAAGAATTCGAGTTATGCTTTGGCAAGCCGAAGATTTAATACTCTTGCAGAAGTGTTAAAAGTAAAATTAATTATTATTTTAACAAAACAAAATAAGTACAACCGTGCTCCCATAAAACTTTTCACTAAATACTCAAATATATTAACACTTAGCGTTGCATCCCGTAAACCAAAGAGCGGAGTTTTTTGCTCATCATTAGAGTTCAGGAATCTGCAAATTGGATTCTACAATTTAAAAATGGTTTTAGATTATATAATTAAAAAAGATGAAAAGATAAATTAATCAATATTCCTTCATCAATTCTTTATTTCTTCTAAGTATACATTAATTTATATGTAGACTCATTGTTATAGTTACTAATGTTAAAAAATGACTCGGTCAACATACTCCCTGCAAGAGTATATATGTATGTATGTATGTGCGTGTATATCTTTATGAGGCCAGCAACTACAGCAACACACACGCACAAATGCGTTGTCACTGTGTGGTTGTTTTTGTTGTCGCTGACCCCCAAAAAAGAAAAACTGGTGAGCGAGCAAAACTCTTTTCTTTTTTATTTTTTTTTTTTTTCAGTCGAGGTATTGGCCTTGCCTCCATAGTTCGCTTAATTTGTTTGATTCTGCTTCCTAATTGTGTGGGCGTTACGCTGTGATTTTTCGAGCGTTACCTTCTTCTCATGAATTTTATTTATTGTGGATATGGCTGTTGCTAGCGAATCCACTGTTTGTTTATTAATAAGCGCCAGAAGTTACCGTTAGTCGTTGTGCAGCGTCAAAGTCAATTTGAGCGGGCGCCTTATAAGGCGTTCAACACTGAGTGAGTCTGTGTGTGTGTGTGCGAGTGCGAGTGCGAGGTTGACGCACTCGTCTGCCATGCATACGTATATATAGACACCTCAATGGAGGCCAGTCTAATGTTCCACTTGCCACACTGCGCTGCCCGGTCGAAGCTTTATGCAAACTCTCCATGCAAACTATGCTGCCTTGATTCATATTTTTAGCGCCTCCAAGCGCTGATCAGATAATAGATTCCGAATCCGATTACGATTGCGATTTCCATTCCGATTCAGATTCAGATTCGGATTCCGATCAGAATCAGAAATCAGATTCACTTTTTCTCTGTTTGAATTCTTCTCGCACACATTTTGGGGCACTTTGTGCTGCAATAGAGCGCAACAGCTGGCAGTTGCTGGGCTATTAATAGTCGAGCATTCTGTGTTACGGGGAGCATTAGACGCTCTCTGGCAGTCGCTGCCAGAATAGTCTTGGCGCGTCGCCTTAGCAGCTAGGAACGAGGCATTGGGTGCTCTGGCGCTGGGCAATGCGTGAGCCATGAGCCGGTCTAGCTATCTGCAGGAGCGGCTGCTCTATCAACAGCAACAGCTACGCCAGCGTCCGGCTAATATTAACTGCCTACGTCAACAGGCGCTGCCCGTATACGGACGCAGCTACTCGCTAGAAGAGGACCAGGCGACTGCTGCTGGCCATTATGTGCCCGTGTACTCCAAGTTCGTCTATCCAGCCCCACCGCTAGAGCAGCTGGAGTTGCAGCGTCAGCCCGGCGGCTTGCATGATTCGGTCAACTCTCTGGGCAGCGACTTCACAGACTACGACTATGAGGGGCCCTACATTGTGGAACAGCCAATGGCACCAGGCGCTGCTGGGCCCGTTCCAGGCTCCAACGTAGTGCAGAACCTGAATGCCTTGGGTCGCTTCCTCGAGCTTCTACAGGGCTGGCCACTGCCGCGTCTGTCTTTCAACACGGCCTGCATTTGCTCGCTCATCATTATATTTATAGCGCCGCGCACTTGTGCCCAGAGTTTACTGTTTCCCACTTTCAGATTGTTCTTCGGCACTCTATATCCGGCCTATGCCTCCTACAAGGCGGTGCGCACAAAGAATGTTAAAGAATATGTGAGTATTACTATTATGTATACAAAATAAAAAGTTGCAAATTAAATACTTAGATATCTAATAAATGTTCATTTGTGATGATTGAATGATACATATTTGGATTTAGAACATTATCATAGTATATATGTATATTTTATATATATACACATATACCTAAAATCTCGCTCTCTAAGAGGCAGATTCGCACATCTAATGTTTTATATACATATATTCTAACATATCTGATATGATTGTATATAGGTCAAATGGATGATGTACTGGATTGTCTTTGCATTTTTCACATGCATTGAGACCTTCACGGACATATTCCTATCGTGGTTCCCCTTCTACTATGAGGTCAAGGTGGTGATTGTCTTGTGGCTGCTGTCGCCAGCCACAAAGGGCAGTTCCACTTTGTACCGCAAATTCGTGCATCCCATGCTGACACGCCGTGAACAGGTGTGTTTCGATAAATATAAACAGCTCCCGTTCTCTTTCTTTACCTCTATTATTAATTATGCTCTCTTTGTTTTGTTTTGGCACAGGAAATCGACGAGTATTTAAATCAGGCTCGCGAGCGCGGCTACTCAGCGGTTCTGCAGCTGGGATCGAAGGGTGTTAACTATGCCACGAATGTCATCATGCAGACTGCCATAAAGGTAACTCGAACAAATGCAGCACCACACAAGTAATACATGCACACTCACACTCTCACATACACAACCAATTCATCTGGCACATTTTTCAATTGCTTCTACAACAATTTGCCACCAGCGCCGTTGCATAAAATGAAAATGAAATGAAACGAAACGAAATGAGCAACAGACAACAATATTCGCCTGCTCAGTCGCATCAGTCTGTCGCATCGGCAGCCGACTTCGCCAGTTGAGAAATGCCACAACTGCTATATAGAAAATGCTTGCGGAATGTTTTTCTCAGTTTTGCTCAGAGAGCCCCTTTCGGTGCTCATCTCTCATCATCAACAATCACAACAACAACAATGCTTCAACAACTATTGAGCAGCTGCCGCGTGCCAGCCTCGCGACGACATCGTCATCATCATCATCATTTGTTCATTGTTTTCATTAACTTTAAATAACATTTAAACAAGCAAATACTACTATGTATGGTTGCCTCTCTGCCTTTTGTTTGCCTGTTTCGCTTTAGTTTTAAGTTTTTAGTTCGCCTTTATAGAAATAGGTTAGCCAGATTGAAAACCATCTAGAAATACAAATTTGAATAAAAATGCACAACATTTATATACACTATACATATATGTATTTATATAGTATTATCATATATGTATAGATTATCACAGAGTCGAGTCAATTTTTTCTCTAGGCTAATACCCAAGTATGTAAACAACATTTCAGATTGTAATAAACTTTGTTTAGATGTTGTTTTTGTTGTCGTTGTTGTTGATGTTGCTGTTGTTGCCTGTAGATGTTTATAAAGTTACAAATAACAAGTGGGCTCCGCTCTTTTTATAAGGAACCTGATTCAGTTCATGTGGCTTCTTCATTGCAAAGCGCATTAATCATCAACTGGAACGTCATGAGAATGTCTTTGTGGGCACACATAGAGAACGCTTATTGCTAGATATATACATATATATGTATATAGGTGTTCTATATAAATATATATGTGTACCTAACACTCTGTTTCTACGTACGACAGAAATTCGCTTTGTCGAAAGGCATCTCGCGTGTTTCATTGGGTCAAGTAGCAATGAATTTCAAGTAGCCACAATATCTATATCTATATATATACTTACATATAGATACATATAGAACATACATACATATAGAACATTTGTATAGCACACAATTCACATTGTTTAGTCACTTGAAGATATGGTTTATTTTTGTACCATATTAAGATAAGAAATCGGATTCCCATTTATTTTCTACTAAAATATAAATCATTGCGATAATATGTAACTAATTTTGAGCGCAAAAGCTACTATAACTTATGTATGGATACATATGTATATAACTCAATAACTCTATTCACCATTCGATTTCTCTTATTTTATTAATAGCTTTCTAATTGAATACAGTTTTAGTTTTTAGTTTCATAGTATGAGTGGATTGAGGTAAACTAGTTACTATTCTAGTTCAGTATCAATAGGTATAGTGTTGCAGTTTGTGATCATAGTGAAAAGGCGTTGATCGTATGAGCATTATCAACAATATTTTAGTTTGGTCATGATTGCCTTGTTATGTATTCAAACTATTTCTTCTACAAATGCAAGCGCACTCAGTTGTAACAATTAGGTATTCTATTTCAATATATATACATATGTGTATGTATGTATATAGATGCATTTATTGTAGTGCCTCTGGGTAGGGCATATAAATAGATAGGCTAAAAGAGTGTATGTCTGCCTGTGCGTGTGTGTGTATGCTGACCTGCTTTTATTTGCACTTTGGTTTCATACACATATTTCAATTTAAACACCCTTTGAGTTCGCCTTTTTTTATTAACTATAATTTTTTCCTATTTTGGGTTTCTCACTTACGTTTCTTTGCATTTGACTTACAAACAATTAAAACGAACAACACCTGCACACCCGCACACCTGCAACGCCTGCCAATACTAACAAACCCGCCACGTACGACACGCAGACCATTCAGTTGGCATCGCCTGTAGCGGCCGATGTGCACCGCTTGCAGACTTCCCAGTCGGCCAGCGACCTGTCGCGGGATCAGGACATGCTGGACGCCAGCGAACTGCTGCAGCGCTCCAGTTCGCTGAATGGCATTGAGAGCTATGCTGAGCAGCGCGTGCTCATCACAGAGCTGCACGAGGAAGAGCTGAGTGACAACGAGGCGGGTGCTGCCCGCCTGCGCGATCTGCCCGTGCGCAAGACTCGCTCGAGTCGCGCAGTCTCGGTCAACAACGGCGCAGGCTCTGCGGCTGCGGCTCCGTCCAAGCGCACCACACGTGGCTCCTCAAAGGCCAAGGCAGCCGATTTGCCGTCGGGCGATGGGGCTGTGCGCGGACGCCGCAAGCTGCGCGATGCCACACCCGATTTGGACGTCGAGGGAGATTAGCAGACTGGAAGATGAGGAGCTGCTCGCATATTAATATACACCAAGCAAATCGCATGATACTCAGCAAATTGCCACACGCAAGAGCAAAAGCACAAAATTAAGCGAATTTTCAGTAGTTTCGCACACTGTGAACCCAGCGACACTCGAGAATGTCGTCTGCCGCCGTCGTCAGTCACCAGCGACACTTAGACGTAGTTATTATTTAAATCAAATCAATATTATGCATATTTGTAGTCGGTCTAGTTTGTAATTAATTGATCTAATTGATAAACACGCAAAATGATGCAAAGCCAAACTCTTTGCTCTCTCTCCCTCTCTCTCTTCCTTTATCTTCCTCTCTCACTTCCTCCATCAAGGGCGGCGGCAATCTGGTGCAGACCATCAAGCGCAGCTACAGCCTCAGCGATCTCAGTGAGCCGGATGTCCATCGGACCCAGGACGAGCTGGACGATGTCATGATGACATCGGTGTCGTCGGTGATGATGCGTCCCCAGCCGACGCGGCTCCTGCGGCAGCGCCACCAGACGCCAGTGGGTCGCTCCGCCAGCGGTACGCGCCACTCGACGGGCATGTACTTCACCGAGGTGGACGTCAGCGCCGGCTCCGCGGCGGCGGGCAAAAATGCTGGCGATTTCAAGTGAGTTTTTGAACAGCCCACGATTCTGGTCGACTGCGCCCACACTTAACACGCTTCCATGCACATCTATTCAGCTACAATATACGCAGCACGGATGACATCAGCTCGGGCTACTCCAGTGCCGAGCCGATTAGCGCTCCACTCGGCGCCGGGCTGAGTCGCACCTCATCCATGACAAATGCTTCCAAGGCGCGTGCGAAGTCCAAGCGCAACGAGGTAAGAATTTAGTTCAATTTACTTTGTAAACCGACTTGTTCAAGGACTTTACCAAGATTTGTTGTAAAATGATAATATTTGGCGATTTATTGAATGTTTGGAATCGACATTTCGATTGATGATAATGTTTATGCTATAACACAAAAAATCATTCGATCCTTGCCCATTTTAGTTTTTGGTATACCTGCTGAATTACCTGCTTTTCTCTGTGGGTTTAGATTCTGAGAATAGAGATTGACTAGTAATTGAATTTTTTTTAAGGATTCATACAAAAAGGTAGCCATAAAAGAATATCAAGCCCAAGTACATAATCTAGATTGAGATAAGAAATTAATGAATTTGATTAACCATCTTAAATTGTAGTGCCCAGACATTCCTCTAGCGATGTATTTTACTGTACTAAAAAATAAAATGTTCTTTAAGCTTTTGGGTTAAGCAAAAAATTTAATTTAAATTTTAATTTTATTTATTTATTTTGTTTTCGAATATCTGTAATATCGAAAAAGTATGAAATGAGAATGTTTAGTGAGGAAAGAGCCTTAAGTTATAATATACATATTCTTAAGCGCAGGTTAAATTGTCTTATAAGATTGCTTTCAATAGTTGGACGCAAGTAAGGACTATTTATTTATTTAGTTATTATTATAATTCGATTAGCAAATTCTGGGAGAAATGCGCTCTGAGGTATTTTTGGAAAATGAGCGTTACTTTGAAATGATGAGAGCACAGCAGTCCAAGGAAGCTCAGAGACAAAAGCAATTAAAGATTGCGGAGAGTGAGGAAGTGAATGACAAATACAATGAGGAGAAGAAGGAGATGGAGGCGGAGGTGGTGGTGAAGGAGGAGGAGGAGGAAGCGGAAGTAGAAGTAGATCCGGATACGTTCTACGAGGCCATGGATGTCATGGAAGACACAAAAACAGCTGGCGAGGAAATGCCGATATCCACGAATAAGGATGTAGCAAATGAGCAGCAAATGGAAACAGAACGGCTTAGCGATAGTGAAGAATCCTTTAAGGAAGCTCTCAATGAAGCGCCCATTGCAAAGGAAATCGACGTGGGCGCCTATAAGAGTGAATCCGTTGAAATAGAGGACTACAAAGCTCTTGTGGATCCCTTTTTATTGGTAGTCACTGAATCCAGCTTTGATGTGGCCGTGAGTGCAGGAGATTCAAGTACAGCGCAGCCAGTTTCCCCGCGAGAGTTGCTCGCCACACTGGAGGAGATCAAGCACAGTTTTCGCGCCCAGCTGGAGCCGGAGACAACGCCGCTGCGACCCAAGGCTCAGCATACCAAGGGACGTGCACCAGCGCCCCCAGTGCCGCCTTTGCCGCCTCGCAGGGACTCCCGTGCAGCGGACAGCGTGAGTCTCCACTCCACGCAGTCGCTGTCTCAACTGGAGCGCAGCAAGTCCTCAGGTATCGGCCATCTATTCAAGAGCTTCAAAGATAACGTGCTGCGCAAAGCTAATCAGCAATCCGATGAGGAGCCCAGTGTCAGCGGCGACTCAGCTAAAGAAACGTCCATTTGATGTAAGCCGTAGGCCTAAACACAAACCCGAACTCATCCGCTCGTCTCAGCTACCCATTACTACTCAAACTCCCCTCGCTGCGCACTGTACAGAGTCTTGTTTGTGTGTTTTGCGTTTACTAACAAATCTTTTGCATTTCAGCATGTGCTCAACTATCATCTGACAATGCCCATATCCTATCTCATATGTCCAATTTGGTCTCTTTCCAGGACAAGTCCATGTCCGCTAGCTGCACTACTTTGCCCCGCAGCAGCAGCCGCAAGGCGGATAAATCTCAGCCAACAAATGCCTCAAGCCAGGCCAAAGCGCGGAAGTCGGAGAAGTGAGGCGCGATCAACCAAACCTAAATTAAATATATATATATATATATATATAAATATAGAAATATATATGTAATATCTCTTTTAATTCCTTATGGCAATGTGTGTTAAAAAGTTGCTCGGTGCTCAAATTTAGCCAATATGAAAGCTCGACAGCAGAGGATAAACATAATTGAAGGGAATGATACTAATGTAAACCTCATCTTTTAGTTGAAATTGTAATTGAATAATGATCGAGCTAGTGATTGACATTATTATAAAGATATTCATAATGATATGACAATTCCTTACCTATTCCCTTACCTCCTTGCTTCTTGGCAAGCATACCTAGCCGATATACATGTATATTCATTTACATATGTGATTGCCCTGCGTGTCCTACAGCCAGATCCTATCGCAAAAATTAGAGGGGAAAGTAATATGATCTATCTTTCTAGTTATTAATGCATTGTAATTGAGAATTCAATAAAACTTAACTAAACATATTTAAATTAAAAAACAAAACTCTTTTATTTGTGTGTTTTGTAAAACACCTTGTAGGCTTACAATGCGTTGTAGATGTATCAAATTAAATCGAGTTGACCAGTATTATTGTTTCTCTTTAGATATAAAAGCAGAACTCCCACTTCATGAAGTATAAACGTGTACGGAATATTTACATATACATATATATAACAAGTAAGAAGACTCTAGTCGAGACTGCTCGACTAGGAGATACCCTGAACCCTCTAATCTGATATTCTAATCAGGCTGCACTTCTTTTCGACACACATACATACACACACACGTATTAGAATGCGCTCTGCTAACTGCGCTTGGGCTGCGCTGTAGTGTAGTAACATTATAAGAATTTATTTGTTGAATAATTTAATTTCTATACGTACAATCTTAATGAAAGTTTCAGGGCGTAATTATATAATGAAAATGTATGTACATTCCAAAGCACATGTCTCTAGTACTTGAAATACGCCTTTTACAAAGGTGAGGGTGAGGGGGTGAATATAGGGGTGGGGGGTAAATTACAGCAAAAATCGAAATTATATAAAATACATATAAGTCTTCATTTAAAATTTGGAAGCTCTAGCTCTAAAGGTGTAGCATATATAATTAAATAACTAGCTTTCGATAAGGTTTTTGATCGATAATAAAATATCGGGAGTAGTTATCGATATATAAAGAAAAACTTGATATGCGCGTGATATACACGGACCTAGGAAAACAAATTTCAAGTCTCTAGCTCTTATATCTTCTGAAATCGACGCGTTCATACATACGGACGGACGGACGGACGGACAGACAGACGGACAGGGCCAAATCGACTTAGCTCGTCGCCCTGATCAAGAATATATATACTTTGTGGGGTCTGCCACGCCTCCTTCTGCCTGTTACATACTTTTAACAAAACCATTATACCCTGATTTCCCATTTTCAATGGGTTCAGGGTATAACAAGTAAGAAAGCTCTAGTCGAGACTGCTCGACTACGAGATCCCCTGAACCCTTGGAGCAATAGATATTTCAATACTTTTTCGCGACTTTCAGCTTACACAAAAAACACACACACACACACACACACGTACGCACACACAGGTATACATACACACACACGCATACAGACACACATACACACACACACGCATACAGACACAAACGCATACACACACACACATACACATACAAGCAACCACGCATAAACACGCATGGGCTGCAGTGTGCGCTTACTATGAGAACTTAATTGTTTAATAACTTTTTTTATGGACGTACGATCTTCATGAAACTTTTAGATTATGATTATAACATGAATGTGCATGTAATTGCCAAAGCACAAGTCTCTAGTATTTGAAATACGCTTTTTACAAAAGTGAGGGTGAGGGGGTGAATTTAGAGGTGGGGGGTAAATTTTAACAAAAACCGAAATTGTATAAATTGCATATAAGCATACATTATAAATTTGGAGACTCTAGCAATAAAGGTGTAGAAGATATAATTTTATAACTGGGTTTCGATAAGGTTTTTTATCGATAAAAAAAGATCGAGATGAGTTATCGATTTTTAATGATAAACTTGATATGCGCGCTGTAATTACGGACATTTTAAAAAAATTTGAAGTCTCTAGCACTTATATCTTCTGAAATCGACGCGTTCATACATACGGACAGACGGACAGACGGACAGACAGACGGACAGGGCCAAATCAACTCAGCTCGTCACCCTGATCAAGAATATATATACTTTGTGGGGTCTGCCACGCCTCCTTCTCCCTGTTACATACATTTCAACAAAACCATTATACCCTGATTTCCCATTGAAAATGGGTTCAGGGTATAAAAAGAAACCGACGGCTAAGTTCTCTTTCACGGATCAACATTTTCGGATTTGCCATACGCTGTTCTGCAATTGTAGCTCACAAATATATGTATCTGATTTTTCACGTTTTAATACTTAGAAGCAAGTATTCCAGTTGCGTAATTGCATAATAGCCTCATGTGAATCTTTTTATAGAAGTCATTTAAATAGTAATACAGTCGACCACCGATAATTCAATTTATCAAGATTTCCATTAAACGAGGCTCAAAAAAGAAAAATTCAAATAAACGAGGCTTTTACATTTCATCATGTATACAGTTAATAAGTTTAATATAACAAAATATTTAAGTACACTTAATTGTACGTATTTTCATATTAAATCAATTGAACAGTAAATAAAATTATAACAAAATTAATAATTTTTTAATAATTAAAATTTATCATAATTATACCCTGAACCCATTTTCAATGGGAAATCAGGGTATAATGGTTTTGTTGAAATGTATGTAACAGGCAGAAGGAGGCGTGGCAGACCCCATAAAGTATATATACTATTGATGAGGGCGACGAGCTGAGTCGATTTGGCCCTGTCCGTCTGTCTGCCCGTCCGTCCGTCTGTCCGTACGTATGAACGCGTCGATTTCAGAAGATATAAGAGCTAGAGACTTTACATTTTTTTTTTAAATGTCCGCGGATATCGAGTTTATTACTAAAAATCGATAACTCATCCCGATATTTTTATCGATAAAAAACCTTATCGAAAACCAATTATAAAATTATACCTCCTACGTCTCTATTGCTAGTCTCCAAATTTTATGTATGTATGCTTATATGCAATTTATACATTTTCGGTTTTTGTTAAAATTGACCCACCACCCCTACATCCACCCCCTCACTCTCACCTTTGTAAAAGGCGTATTTCAAATACTAGAGACTTGTGCTTTGGCTAATACATGTATATTCATGTTTTAATCATAATTTGAAAGTTTCATGAAGATCGTATGTCCACAAAAAAAGCTCACAGCTTACTTCGTGCAGCGGAGTAGTACAATTTTAATCCCGTAATCCCGCTAAACCAGTAAAGATATCATCAGTCATTCATTATGTATTAACGCACTTCATTATTTTTCTGTTGTAACAAATAACATTTAAAGCTAGGGACCGTACAAATATAATTTTTATTGCAAAAAATTAAAAAATAAGAATTATTTTTTGAGTAATTTAAAAAAAATAATTTTTCATACATTATGATTGACTGATAAATAAGACCCCATTTAAATTTTTTGGATATCTTTACTGGTTTAGCGGGAATACTACACTACACACTACAACTACACCGCTGCACGAAATAAGCTGTGAGCCACTGTATACATATGCACATGAGAAGTAATGTAAATTTTACCGTTACGGTATCCGCCATCTCTTCAATATACAGTGGGTCAAAAAAGTATTGGCACACTTGAAAAATCAAACTTCTAAGAGCTGTAACTTTTTTTCTCACACTAGACCCTGATCTGTCTACAAGAGTGCCAATTTCACGATAAGATTTATTCTCTAAATACAGTTTATTGATTAATTTCCGTATTTCCAAAGAAATTTCAGCACCTCTAGCCATTTTTCTCTTGCTCTCTTAAATTTTCGATTAGAAGTTATTGCAAACACGTGCAAGAACCAAAATGAAGCGATGTGTAAAAGAAGGAATGAAAAATAACGGTAGTTTACGGTTGTAGCAACGAAAGCGTAAGCTAGAACATAGTGTGTGCCAATACTTTTTTTTACGAAAATTTGTGCCTATATTTATATTTTAGTTCTGTGCAAGTGAACCAAACAAGAAATTTAATTTTTTTTGTTAAATATTATTAGAAAACATGGATTTAATAAATGCCGTTTTTAATTTATATATAGCTGTGTTCAAAAAAAAGTTGCAGCTCTTAGAAGTTCGATTTTTCAAGTGTGCCAATACTTTTTTGGCCCACTGTATGTACATACATACACGTCCGACCTTTTAAGGATTGTACGAAGTTGGTCTTCTATGAAAAATTGCTAAATAATTAATAATAATTTTATAGATGTCTAAAAAAGGTCGATTTGATTAAAAGCCTGTTAATACTTACATTCGTAAAATTGAAATAAATCACATACATATACTAAAATACTGTACACACATACATACATTCATCAATCTGTATTTATGCACTCATTTTGTGATTGAATTCCAGTTTCGGTTCCAGTCTCTTCCAATCGTAACTTTACCACTGCAATGGGAGCAGATTCGCATGCAATCATACGCAGACACACAAACACACTCACACGAATCGTGCACAAGTACAGTGCATATAAATCCAGTCTGCAGTTTGGAGAGCGCCCATCAGCAGCTTTGTTCAATTTCACATGAAGCTCGTTGCAAGAGCTGCACATGCGCAGCAGCTGATGCGAATGCTCGCTGACCTTGACCCTCAATCAGCAGCGAGAGAGCGCAGACAAAACGGTTGAACGCGGTGCGCATGCAGCCAGCCGGGTGTAACTTGTTGCCAAGTGCAGCAGCGAAGACCACGCAGTCAAGTTGAAGTTTTGCCCTCTCCCCAACAGCCCTTCGCCATAAGCCAGCTCACCGTCACTATACATGCATACAGACTTATTCATGCGAGTGTGTGTGTCGCTTGCAAGTTTTCACCATTAGCAGCGCAGTGCGACGACTGTACTTTGTTTAAAGAAGCAGCACATACATACATATGTATGTGTATGTATAAATATACATATACATACATATGCCCAAATATATACGTGCATACATATGTATACTTACGTACGTATGGTTTATGCCCACGTGTATGTGTGTGTGTGACGATATAAATACATACATACATACATACTTGTAGGTCTCAGTGCATAAGGAAGCAAAGCAAACAAACACTCGCACGCACATGTACATGGCAATACACTAGAAACAATGGCAAAATTTTTGCTTTATGTGGCGGCACCTCCACCACGCTGACTCAGTTACAAAGAGACTGAGAGTGAGCAAGAAAAAGAGAAAGACAAGGCGGCCGGGCCGGTCGGACTATCAGCTGCCGTGCCATGTGTTCGCTCAAAAATCAGGGGGCAGCTGCTCTTGCTTCGCTGCTGCATTTGCCGGCTTAGAGAACCAGAACTGGTATCAAAACTGGTTCGCAGGGGGATGCCGGGAACCGGGGAACGATAGAATGAAAGAAACAGCGGGCGATCTGCAAAAATAAAGAAGTTTCGACTCAAATGAAACAGGCATTTGTATTGTAGGGTTATTATTATTTCGTTTGTCTCAAATCAGCAGCTCCAGCATTTTAATTTACAATTAAAAAACAATCACAGTGATATTTGAATTTTTATCATAATCATTATCTTCGTAGTTCGCCTTGTTTTTTTGTCTTGCTCAAGTGAAAAGGTTCGTCTGTTAGCTCATCTTCTTCCTCATCCTCGTGTAGCTTTATGCCTATTTTCTTCTTCTTGTGTCATCTACCATCTGCCATTGTCAAGTTCTGTTGTTGCTGTTATTGTTCTGTTAGTGTTGCCAGCTAGTAAGTATAGCTAACCCGCTAGAGATCTTGCTTGTTGATGTGATAGGTGAAGTGCAAAAGCTCGTCAGCCGCAGCGCTGTAGGGTAACATTAGTTTCTTCTCTTCTCCCCCTTTCGCCTCTTTCGTTGCTCCTACTTCAATTTGTTGTTCTTTAACTTCTGCGTGTTGGAACTCCTAATAGGATACTTTGTAGTATATATACATATCTGTATGTTTATATATATTTATTTTTCGAGTTTTTTTTTTTTTTCTTTTTTTTTTTTTAAGGTAAATTATATATTCTTATATAGTTTTCTTTCCATTCGTTATAATTGTATTTAGTAAATTCAAACACGTTTGCAGCATAATAATAATATAGTTGTTTTTGTTGTTGGTATAGTGGTAGTAGCTACTAAAATACAACGACGTCTGTTTCTTCTTCTCCATCTATTGCTGCCTTTCAGCGCCATTAGCGCCATCGTTGTTTTCTCCTCTTTCGTCCATCGTGCTTTCTCCTAGTTGTTGCTTGTGTATACACTGTACTGTTCTTTTACGACTGCAGGCTCAGAGCTTTGGAATTAGAGATGTGCTGCTTAGATGACGGCTAGATGTGTGCGTGTGTGTGTGGGTATGGATGTGATTCTGTGTGGGTGTGTGTATGCGTTTGGGGTTGATTTTATGTCTGTTGATCTTGACTCGGTTTTACTGATTGGTCGCTTCTTCTTCTGTTTTGCGTTTTGCTGTTTTGTTGTTGTTGGCTGGCAATTGATTTTTTCATTAAATATTTTTTCTTTTCATTTTTTTTTATTTGACAAAACATTTTCGTTGATTTCTCTGAGACCGCTCACACTGCTATCCTCTAGTTCCGTCCACCCTTCTCATCGCATTCGCGTCTCAGATGACCACTCTTGCCGCAGCCGTAGCAAGTCTTTGACGTCTCCGGGCAGTTCTTGGAGATGTGTCCGGTGCGGTTGCACTTATAGCATGAGACGTTTGCTGGCCCATTGCCGCGCTCATTCACCGCATCGGGGCAGTTGCGCACCCAATGTCCGGGCTTGTTGCACCTGTAGCACGTCGGATTGTCGGCTTGAGTGCAGTCCTTGGAGATGTGGCCTACGCCGTTGCACCGATAGCAGCGCTCCGCCTCTTCGGGGCACGCGCGTGCAAAGTGCCCAAATTGATTGCATTTGTAGCACTTTTCACGATTACGACGCATGCCGCCGCCACCGCCATCACGCATGCCACCGCCACCACCTGGTCCGCCGCCTCCTGGTCCTCCGCCGAGACTGCAATCCCGGGCGAAGTGGCCCGGCCGGTTGCACTTGTAGCACGTGGCAGACATCGACATTGTACTGTACTTGAGTTAATTAGAGAATCGGTGCAGAACTGTTCTAACCACACGTTTCGTATCGTCCGAGAATCACACACGAGCTGAGCTACTACTGCCTCCACGAGCAAAACTGACTTGCTTTAAATGCAATTAAACAAAACTACAGGATATGCGAAAACCGCTCGCCGTAGTTTTTTCGACGCCAAAAATTAAAATGGCTACCACGCAAAACTAGTACAATGGTATCGCCAGTAATTTGGGTATCGAGTATAGAAAAATGCCGCTGAGCAGTCACAGAGGTACGTGCACACACAGGGATGCTTTGATTATACAATTGCAACACTGCAATTCCACGCGGTATACATTGGTACAAAATTGTCTTTATAAGCTGCAAAATTTATTTTGCACACACAAGCCCATAGAACTTGAATGTATGGTAGAGCAAACTAAACCGAATTAATTCGAAAATGCTACTATGGTTTGTAGGATGTTTACATCTGAATCGAATCAGATCGTTCAGTTTATAGGACAAGTGCCCCATACTTCGAGATTAATTATACTAGCTTCATCGGTCGGTGCCGTTGATAAGTAAAGTCGCATCTAGTGAAAATCTCATCGGTAACTCTTCGGCAAGCTCTTTCTGCATTCCCGAGCTGCTTTCGGGTATGTCGTTGCTAAAAATAAATAGTCTAGAGTTCGTTCTCAATCAGGTTAATTTTATGTTTTATGTGCACGCTCGCACCACTGTTCACAGCACAGTGACAGTGTGCTGCCACATCTGTAGCTGGCAGCCTTGCCACATTCACGCATGCGATAATGAGTTGGCAGCCCACAAAATCTCAAGCAATATTTAGCAGCCGTGCAATGTATTTTTATGTGATTTTACTAACAATCAATTTACGCTAGTTATGTTTGCAAAATGTTATTTGTTCTGATAGCGATTGCCATTCTGAGCGGATGCATAGCCACGTCTACAATCCACATGCCCGTCACCACACAGGACATCATTGCCGGTGACGTGTTCTTCGAAATCATTTCGCCGCAAGATCTGGAATACACTTACCGACTGCGGCCGGCAAAGGACTTTGGTGTCTCATTCAGCCAGAAACTGGAAGGTGTACCCCTGGTACTGGCGGATCCTTCCGAGGCTTGCCAACCGCTTCGCAATGGGAGAGAGATGCATGGCAGCATTGCCCTTATGGATAGGGGGCAAGTATTATTCATATAACATTATCAAATTGTGGTGCTATTTTTTAACTTATCTGCCGTTATCTTTGCGACAGCGAGTGCTCGTTCCTTACCAAAACACTGCATGCCGAGGCCGCCGGCGCAATCGGTGCCATTATCACCGAATATAATTCGAAATCGCCAGAATTCGAGCTATACATTGAGATGATTCACGATAAGACGAACCGTGACACCAAGATTCCAGCTGGCTTTTTGCTGGGAAAGAACGGCATGAATATACGCAAAACGCTGCTCCGCCTGAAGCGCCTCCATGCGCTGATCAATATACCTGTCAACCTGACCTTCACCCCGCCATCCAAAATCAATCATCCGCCCTGGCTGGGCTGGTGAGTCCGAAATGTGCGTGTGGGCGTCTGCGAAAACTACAATTGAAACTGAGATAAAAATAAAACAAAAGCAAATCTGAAACCAAAGTGCATACTTAGTCAGTCAAGATATATATTATACGCGTAAGCTAATTAGCTGGGCTGCAATTCAATAGAATTTATTCTTTAAACCATTTCGAACTTTGCTCTGGAATAACCACAAGCATTGCAGCACAACTCTTAGTTTATTTAGTGAATGAATAAAATAAAATAATGTTTAGTTGAATTTACCTGACTATAATTAAAACTTGTATTGTACAGAAGTTCACCTACAAAATATTTAATTCTTTTCAAGTCCGAAAACAAAATTGATCTTTAAAATAAGAAATGCGTAATTAATTAAAATTATTGTATTAATTGCATATTCTGATATTTCAAAATATTTGGTGATATTTTAAAATATAAATTACTTTAAAATATAAACTACAACAGATTAAAAGCGAATCGTGATTTTTGTGAAAGCTTCAAAAATAATTTCTGACCTTTTGTTAAAATTTGAAGAAAAAAAAAAGACCGATTTTAATTAATTAATTTATTAAACTGTTTTTTAGAGATAACAAGTTGTATATATATATATATATATATATGATTTTTTGTAAGTTTAAGATAATTTGTTATTTTGTTTTTATTTTTGTTTGCTTATATGTTGAGCACTTAGAAAATGTTTAAACTTTCGCAGTCACATGACACAGTCTTTTGATTTTCAACTATTAATTGTTAAAATTGTTACAACTTGTACGAAGATTTGCCGTCAAATTTAAAAGCACAGCCCAAATCTTTTGATAAGTCAATTAAAGATACAGTTATTCATTAGTCTTTAAAAAATATGTATTACGCAGCTAATTTTTTTTGAATTATTTAACAACTATATATTTTTGTGAAACTGGGTTTGCAGCCCAGACTAAAGAAACAGAATTTGAATGAGGAAAAATAACTAAAACTAAACTGAATTTAAGTAGTAGCAAACCTATAACAAAAGTCATAAGAATCAAGGCGAGATGAACCCAAGCGTAATTTGTAAATAAAGTAATTGTATACGCTCAAGACAGTTTAGGCTTAAATCTATGCTACGCGTAAATCTGAATTAAAGCTAAATTCAATTACATATATAAATATATGTTATATATATTGGAAATATTAATATACTAAGTCTTCACTGTATCAGAATTTGCCCAAGGCGCTCAGATTGAGGCACATGCCTAGGGTGAGGACCACGATGGTCACCACGAGTATTGCGAAGCACAGATAGTTGGACTGGATGGGCATTCGGAAGAGCTTGGCGGACATGTCTAGCGAGGAGGCGAACAATAACGTCGAGTTGAGATCCTCGGCGGAGGTATTGTGATATACAAAGGGACGGACCCGGATTTGGTGTCCGTTCGCTTGGGTGTTTTGGCAGACGCGCGTGACGGACCCGGCCACAAAGAACGGTAGCAGCCCTAGGAAGAGCCACAACATGACATTCGCGATGTTCAGGAGCACCAGCTTCAGGGCACAGTAATGGAAGTCGAAGTCCTTGAACAGGTAGACGAGCCCTGCAAAGGCGTAGGCCAGATTCATGACGATCAGGAAGCAAACGGGTATGGAGACGTGTTGGTTGACGCGCTCGAGCAGCTTGCGGAACTCCAGGATCTCGCGCATCCAGTCCAACGGATCGATGGAGTGCATCAGCAACTTGTGCGACAGCGTCTCCAGATGCACGCGCAGCAGATAGCATTCAATGTAGTAGCTGCTCAGCACAATGATCTCCACGAGATCCTGCAGCAAGATGGTGCTGAGCAGACCGATGCGCAGCCAGAGCTCCCAGGCGCGCAGCGCCTCGGCCAGCCAGGTCACCTTGATGATCTGCGCCTGCTGCATGAACACCACGCTACAAGCATAGCCAAAGAGCAGCAGCAGCAGAGCTAGAGCCACGCCCAAATAGAGCCAGAGCATGCGGCACAGTCGTTTGGGCTTGGCGGACAGCAGGAACACGCGCTCGATGAGATTCTGCAGTTGCTCGTGCTCGATCACCTTGCATACGAGCACGGCTGAAACGAAGCTCAGCAGGTTGAGGACACTGGGCACCACATAACCGAAGAGCAGCTCCCCAATTGTGTTGGGTGTGCTGCTGGCGGAGGCAGAGCCGCAGACATCGCTACCGTTGCCGTAGCCGCCGGGTCGGATGTCTCGATAGCTGCTAAAGCCGCGATCTCCACTGCAAGGATTTTTTGTTACCACTGACTTAGATCTCTCGAAGCACTCACCGATAGCCACACAGGTAGCGCAGCACGTAGCCCGCCAGGAGGACAAATAACACCATCATCGCCTGAACGTAGCTGCTGCAGGCGCCCACCGTACTCATGTCCGTGGAAATGGGATTGAGGCCGACCACGGTCAGGATGGCCACATATGGGCGCAGAAACTGCAATGTTTCAATGACTTCAATTAGGTACAGTTTGCACTCTCTATAGTAAACTCAAGAAATATGAACGAGCTTGGCTTAAAAACTCTAATATCAATATCAACTTTTATCATTTATCAACAATTATATCGGTTGTCTGTAACCATATCGGCACCTGCAAGCAGGCGTTACCGACCGTCGAATATGTGTTACGGCTGAGGGGGTAGAGACACATACAAGTATATGTTCTATATGTCAAGAGATCAAGCGGACTAATGAACAGACGGATAGACAAAACTAATGTACTCATTTCAGTTTCGTGAATGAGTGTACCAAGATTATAAATGCTAGTATATGTATGGAAATATGCATATGTTTGAATAAGCTACATACATATACATATATATATACATGATCGGATAACATAGCTTTTGTGTACACAATTCGCACTTGAGTCCAGATAAATGAATTCTGCATGATTGTAAATAAAATACTAATTAGGATTTTCAAATAAAATTTGAAAAATGTACGTATGTATGTAACTGTGAATAAACACTACGATTTTTCGCTGTGTACTTTTGCAATTAAATATCATTAATGATGAGACACACACAAAAACATAAATATACATATATGTATATGTATATATATATATATATGTATATACATATATGTATATTTTTTTATATTTATATTTTTGTTTTGTGCAATTCATTATCGCACTTTCGTTCATTATATTGAGAGCACACTGTTCATGAATTTTTTTTTAGTATATTTTTGTTCGACTATATCTACGTAACGTACCTTGCGCTTGCAGTAGTTGAGGATCGCCGATGTCGGCTCATGCTCGCCCGGCTGCTGCGTTTCATCGTGGGTGGTGCCGTTCAAGCGGTTGATGAAACAGAAAGAACTATCCGCATTATTACGATACATGACAGCGCCGAGACAAAAGGCGTTCACACGCAACAATAACAATAATAACAATAACAATAACAGTCACAGTGACAACAACAACAACAGAGGCGCGCGCACTCGCACACATACACATAACGAGCTACTGGACGTCGGCAGCTGCTGATGAGAGTGATAATGACTGGAAGTGGAGCGATTGGAGCGACTGAAATGACGATCGCCGGCGTTGGCGGCGCAGCAACAACTGAAACGGCACGCAAACAGCGGCGAGAGAACACGAGCGAATTAGAAAAACTTACGGCGAGTTCGTGTAGCCAGGATGAGACGGCGGATGTGGTGCGGCTGCAGCGTAAGCCCGATGGCGAATCACTGAGCCGACTTGTTGCTCTTTCTGTCTCTGTCTCTGTCTCTGTTTCTACTTGTGTTGCTGCTGGTATTGTAGTCGTTGACGTCGTCGCTGTCGCTGTAGCCGATGGCGTTGCCGTTGCCGTTGCCGTAGTCGGCGATGTCATCAATTGTTGCTATAACGGTAAATTGAATCAATTGAAACTCGAGCCGCGCGCACAGCGAGCCGAGCGCGAGCGACACAGAGCCGATGCCTATTCCGACGTCAACGTCGACGTCGAAGCTTTCCTGCTATCACGTTGAAGCTCTCTTCGAGCTTTGCTCGCTGCGCGCTCACCGTGCTCGCTCTCCCGAGGGCCCCTTATCAATGGAATATATCTCGGAAACAGAACGCGACGCCTGCTCCCCGCTGCTGAGCACCTGTTACAGTTTAGATAGGAATCAGCTTGTTATCGTGACCGCTATCTATTCGAGCTAAATGTGCACATATGCAAATAAACGAATACACGTGCAACTGCACATATGCACATGTGTGTGAGTGCGAGCGTGTGTGTGTGGCTGCTATATAGAATTGCTTTTATGTATTTTATGTTTATCTTAAAGAGTTCTCGCAATCCGTTTATTGTTCTTGATTCGTCGTGAATCAACACGAAATTTGTTTATGTTCTCTATATGGCTGCTCGGCGGCGATTACTGTAATGTCACCAAGAGCCTAACGGCAGTCGTTCGCTGCTGCCTCAGCTTCTGCTCATGAATGTGTGTGTCTGTGAGTGTAGCTTTCCGATAACCCAGAGGATCATGTACTGTTCGGCGCGCTACGCTCAAAAGGGGGGGCATGTCGAATTGGGCTTGGATAAATTAAGGAAATAAATATAAGTAGTAGAGTAGTATTAATTTACTAAAGTAATTAGCATATAATGGGAAATAGTTATCGATTTTGACTTCGTACTGTTTTGGCAGGGGCATAGCCAGACCATCGATAATGGCGTTGATTCTTATTGACGAATCGATTTCCATCGTGTGCTTATGTCAAACCCCACCCTCTAGTGTATTTTGGGTAATAGCACTAACCACTTAATAGGTGGGCTTCATTAATATATTAATAAATAGATCAAATAATTCTCAAAATAATTAACTGTAGGCATAATTAATATATTAATAAATAATTAAAATATATTGATTGACATATTAATTTAAAATTCAAATAATTCTCAAAATAATTAATAAATAATAATAATACAGCAGTCTGCACAAACTTCTCTTTTTTCCTTGCTAATAATTTCTAGTTGCGAATTGATAAGCTCTATATTAACCAAAATATCAAATTTGATTCAAGTCCATGGTCATATTCGATTAATATATATTATGTTTTTTAAATGTTTCAAACTCAAAGAGAAAATTTAATGCAGTGGCTGGCTCAGTCGCCTTTGCCGAACTGAGTCTTGTTATCTTAAATGAAATGCGAATACAATAACAGACTAGAAAAAAAAGAAAAAAAAAATATAATAATAATAATGATAATAATAAATAAATAAACAATAAGAAGAAGCAAAACAATTTACAAAGCGACACTCAAATTTGTTTCTCTCGTGTCTCCATTTAGCTGAGATTCGTGTCGAGTCGCCCT